TTTAGATTAAGAGGTAATTACCATGGAGTTTGGTTGAGGGTGGGAGAATAAAAATTCCGCTCCGGTTTCCTGGACTCTATACATATGGTCTAGGTGCCTTGTTGACACTGGGGCTGATGAGGGTTTATCCCATGGCGTTTTGGCTGCCTGTAGAAGGACCGTGGACATGGGCAGTGCTATGGTAGTTGACATATCAAGTTGTACAATGTCGAAGACGGCATCTGTAATGTGTGGCTGTTGTTGTACGACTGAGAGGCCAAGAGAACGGGCCATTCTTTTGATGAGGTCTGCGTAAGAAGTCAGATTGTCGGATGGAGATATGGGCTGGTCATCTGCTACTGCCTGGTTAGGAGATTTGTGGTCAGGGGAGGTATGTACCTCTGAAGCTTCCGTATCAGAATCCTCATCTACAGAATTCGAAGAGTCTGGATCTGGCACTTGAACCGGAGTGGCTTTAACTTGGCTGGTTATATTCTTTGGTGGTAGGACATGGGGACTGGGAGGACGGCATGGTTCCGGTCTATGCTGCGAAGGATCCTCGGCCGGATGATTTGGAGGACGAGAAAGAGATGCTGAGGGTCTAGACCTATAGGGTGACCTTGATCTGTGGGCAGAGTGGGCAGAGTAACGATCCCAATCAGAGTAGCCCACCGGAGTCAACCACAGCATGGATGGTGGATAAGCTCCATAGAGATACCACAGTTGGCGGTGATCCCATGACAGAGGCGGGGGGGGGATGAAGACTTGAAAGGATCGACTTCTGGAGTGGGAGTGTCCAGGAGACCATGCAGTATCCTGCCTTTGTGAGCGGTCTCTATAAAATCGCTCATCGATATCAACAGGCTCAGCAAACAAACGTGGAGGGTAATGCTGAGCAGTCTTGGAGATCTGCCAATGCCGACCTAAACCGATATCGGCATGGGCATTGGAGACTGTCAATGTCGATGATGGAGAAGGAGAGCGATCCAGGAGCTCAACATTCTCGATATCGGAGAAGGGACGTATTTCTACCAGCGTGTCCTGGTCAAGGTGGTGTATAGGAGAGTCCATGAGTTGGATGGTCGGTATCGGTGGAGCGGCATGGGCCTCCAATGCCGATACTGCCGTTGGAGCGGGGGGCAGTTTAGCGGCATTACCCAGTGCAGTCGCTGCTACCTTTCCCGTCTTTTGGGACTTAGAGGATCCCTTTTTGGCAGACTTGTGCTCCTTACTGGACTTCAGCTTCTTCTTCACAGGAGTGGAAGTGGAAGACTGTGCCTTCGATGCCGGAGGTTTTGACGTCGATTGGCCGATGTCGGAGGAGGGCCTCGATGCCGGAGCAGTCGATGTCGGTTGTTTTTCAGGATCCATGACTGAGGGAGGATGTAATGCTGACTCCAGCACAATGGCGACAAGACTCTGGTCGGTGCGTCTCCCCCAAACAAAAAATGCAAAGGGTGTGGCGGTCAGGTGGAGTGAGCTTACTGCCGCAACCCTTGCAGCGGCTAAAACCCCCCCACTTCTTCTCCATAAAATAGGTAAAAAAGGGGAGAAGAAAAACAAGGTGGGAGGGGGGAGCCTGAAGGCCAAACTGCGATAAACGAAGAAAAACTCCCCTTCAACAAAAAGAAAAACCTTTCTTTTAAAAAAACAAGAATGAACAAAGACTAGAAGTAAAAAATAGAGAAAAACTGAGGAAAAAATCCGAAGAGCCTGAGGCAAAATTTGTACCTATCAGACCGACTAAAGGAGTGTGTTTCCAGCGTGGCGGTAAGAAAGGAACTGGCGGGATGTCCGCGCCCACCCCTCTGGGCATGCGTGGTGGGGTTCTTGCGCATGCCCGAGGTCTGGGCACGAAAATCCATTAAGAGCTTGCTACAATGCCGATCGATCCAGCACATGCGCACTGAATCCCATGGGTGTGAAGCACAGAGACCACGTCGAAGATCTACACATGATATTCGGCGTGCTGAGCCTTTAGGCACCTGTCTCAAACATTCCTTTGCACCCAGGCCTTTAACTAGAGGCTTTTAGTGAGATTAGTCTTTATACTGTAATGTTTATTACAAGGCCTGATTATTACAAGGCCTCAACCCATAAGGATTGAGAGTACACAATACAAATGTTTAAGGTGAGAAATAAAACTCTACTATAAGCTCACAAATCTGTTCCAGAATCCCTTTCACCTTAGCCTTCACACCTCCAAATCAAGGTATCCCCCTAAATTGAAGCCATCGGTTCTTGTAGTTTTGTACATTTCTCCCATCTGCTGACATACTGAAACACACAAAATCTTCAAACATTCTCTCTCTCTCTAAACTGTTTACTTTGAGCAGCTACCATCAGACACAAGGCTGGGATGTGCTCAACTAACCCTCAGCTGCCACAAATGACTGCAGTGCAGGCAAAGTATCCTGCCCTAAAATACAACCTTTAAGTTGTATCACACTTTCCAATGGCAGAATGAGGACTGTGAACAAAGGTGGTGAGAATGAAATGGAGGGGAAAGACCACTGATTAAATGTGAGGAGGTAGTTAATACAAAGGAATTTTCTGCACCCTTAAACCACTAACTTTTTTTCCTTTGCACTTTTCCCTCAGATTCAATGAGTGTTATGGGGTTTTGGGCTTGTTGGACTACCTGCATGGAACAGACAAAACGTTCAGGCAGTCAAGGGCGCATGAGAACGTCTCAGAAAGCATCCTTGAATTACCAAAAAAATCTGAATGACCTTCCCTAAGTGCAGTCTACTTCCTCTATTCTGAAATCACAAGAAACAGGGAAGATGGTTATGTCAAATGATTTCCCAGCAAGGAGCTTGAAGATACCAATGTAGGAGGTTCTGAGTTTCCATTATCAGAAGAATGTTGTTTGCAATGACTTTTTGAATCAATGCAATAAACTTATTTTGACTTATCAGAAGACAGAGCTCAGCATGCACTGTGCCCTTTGAAGGTAATTAAAATGAATGTATTATTTGCATTATGCAGAAGAATGCTAATGTCCAGATTGCCATTCAAGGTAATTAATGTCTTTGGTCAGGCTATGGTCAGGCCTCACCTGGAGTACTGTGTCCAGTTTTGGGCACCACATTTTAGGAAGGATGTTGACAAGCTTGAGCGTGTCCAGAAGAGGGCAACCAGAATGGTGAGAGGGTTGGAATCCAAGTCTTATGAGGAAAGGCTGAAAGAGTTGGGTATGTTTCACCTGGGAAAGAGAATGCTTAGAGGGGACATGATTGCAGTCTTCAAATATTTGAAGGGCTGTCATGTAGAAGATGGAGCAGATCTATTTTCTCTTGCTCCGGATTGCAAGACTAGATCTAATGGGTGGAAATGACAAGGGAGTCGATACCAGCTAAATATCAGGAGAAACTTCCTAACTGTAAGAGTAGTTGAGCAGTGGAACAGACTGCCTCGGGAGGTGTGGATGCTCCATCGCTGGATGTATGACCATAGAGGCTGGATGACCATCTTTTGGGTATGTTGTAGGGCTATCTTTCGGCTATGTTCCTGCAGAGTGCAGGGGGTTGGACTAGATGACCTGCAAGGTCCCTTCCAACTCTAACATTCTATGATTCTATTACAAATGTAAGTTGTAGAGGTATGACTAGCTTCTACTATGAAGAGTATATATATTTCCAGTAGTCAGGCTGACAGGAAACCAGCTACTGTGGCAGAATTTCAGGTTGGGTTTTCCAAGAAATGCAGCCTAACCTAATGCAAATGATCAGCTGCAAGACCTCTTAGAAAATGTATTCCCCAGTATCAGGAAAGCAGTTATCTTTTCTTTCAAGCCTGAGGGCCAAACTAAATGTGATGGCATCCATGGGCTGGATGTACAGATGTTACCCTTTTAAAGAGATAAAAAATCCTGCAAGGGTCCTGATCAGGGCTTCAGCATGGCAGGATGAGGCAATCTTGTCCCAGTGCAAAACTACGGAATCCCAGTAGAAGCACAGGACAATGTGGCAAGACTAACACAAGTGTCAAATCAGCGAATCCAAACTGATGTCAAACCAGAGGCTCTTCCAAGCCAAACAGAATAGGAAGCTGTTGCAAGCCCAAGAAATGTAAAATTGGAGAATCCAGCCAACGTACAAACCAAAAATCTAAGGCAGGGGTGTCAAACATGTGGCCCACAGGCTGGAATCGGCCCCTGCAGGGCTGGTATTCAGCCTGTGAGCAAGTGCCTTTCTCCTGCTTTTTCCTCCTGGGCTGCTGCTGCGTCACAAAGTCTGTCTTCCCTCCAGTGGCTGAGATCTCCTCTTTCTCTTTTGGGGAGGGGGGGAAAGACAGCACATCAGTGTGCACCAGAGAAAAGCTTCCCCAATCACTGTCTCCTGCTTCGTCCTCTGGTGCTGCTGCTGTATCTCCAAACTTCTCTTCCCTCCATTGGCTGAGATCTCCTCCTCCTCCTCCTTTGGAGAGGGAAGGAAAGAGAGAGAGTGTGTGAGAAATAGTTGCATGGCACATTGAAGATCGACAAAGTTTTATTCCAGGTATAAATTTTCATGTGCTTGCACACTTCTTCAGAGAGAGGGAGGGAGGGAGATTTTTCCGGCAAGCACAATTTACGTTAAGATTGCCCGGCTTTGCTATTTGAGACCTGATCACACATACACATTAGGAAGGGGTGGGGGCAGGAAAGAGATGCATTTGGAATAAGGGGAATTAAAAGGAAATTATTTTGGCTTATTCTGAGTTTTTTTAATTAGATTTCTCTGTGCCTATCTGGGATAAGTATTTAAAAATACATTTATGGTTCCATATATTCCAGTTCAACATGTGGTCTCCCTTTCTCCCCTCCCACCTCACTGACTGCCTTTATTCACATTAACCCTCCCCCTTGCTTTTTAACTGTTTCATGATCATCACTAGCAGTGAGTGGATTTTGTCCAGTCTGAAATCCACACATTATTTCACTTTGAGAGATCCTCCTTTCCAGTTCTAACAGATGAAAAAAGAATAGAAACCTAACAGTACAGCTTGCAATCTTTATTAGTGGAAGGGAGCAAGACTACAGTAGTGCCTAATAACTAACAAAATTTGTGGCAGGAAAGGAGCTTTCATGAGTCACTGCTCACTTCTTCAGATACAGCTAGAATATGAGTCTATTTGTCCTTTTATCTTGGAGAGTGAAGTGATTTCAGATGCCAAATGACAATCGCAGGCATTGCTAGGGTATGAGCTCTTGTAAGTCACTGCTCATATCTTCAGAGTTATGTATTCTTTACATTCGCCTGGACTGAATCCTCCTGGAGCAAATTGAGACCTAGGTTTCCTGTCCCATTACCAGTGCTAATATCTCCATGCCTACTACCCCTCTGCTTATCACCCCTAATCCAGTCAAGCTTGCTATTGCCTTTCAACATCTGAAATCATTTTTATAAAGTTTATATCTCCAGGACCTCATGTTACATTTTATGGCACACATGGCTCAGCCCAAACATAGTGACATTTATGTCAGATCCAGCCCTCATAACAAATGAGTTCAACACCTCTGATCTAAGGCAATGTCTGACCCAAGAATCCACCACAAACCTGACACACACCAACTCCAGCAAAGAACACAACATTGCAAGACAAACAAAACCAATTTCAAAGGGCACAATAAAGCAAAAAAATAAATGGCAAGCAGATACCAAGCCCTGGGAGACAAAGAAACACAGTAAAAATAAAGCAGAAAAAACAGTAGTGGGAACCTCAAAAGCCTGTCTCCTAATGTCTCCCAAATATTTCAGGGATCTTTCCAGACACATTTCCTGCTATTCTAAAAAATCTCAGATACCATCTGGAGACCTGAATATATACAAAAATATATTCAGATATATATTCAAACCAGATATAGTTGAATTCACTTAAAGCCAAGTAATACAGCTTTACACCATCTTTGGATTATGTTTTCTCTCAGTCCTAGTTCTTAGAAACAGCAGATGAAGTAGTAAACCTGACAGCACTACTTCAGACAGCTGTTAAAGGTTCATTTGAAGAAGAAGAGTTGGTTTTATACCCTGCTCTTCACTCTTCACCAAAGGAGTTTCAGAGCGGCTTACAATTGCCTTCCTTTCCGCTCCCCACAACAGACAGCCTGTGAAGTAGGTGGGGCTGAGAGAGTTCTGAGAGAACTGTGACTGACCCAAGGTCACCCAGCTGGCTTCATGTGGAGGGGCAGGGAATCAAACCCAGCTCTCCAAATTAGAGTCTGCCGCTCTTAACCAAGCTGGCTCTCTGTTGTTTGGGAATGGACTTCTTTCATTTGCAGGAGAATAATTTAAATAATGTAGGCATGCCTAGAATACTGCTGCTAAATTGCATGATATTGAGGGTGGAAGAAGGCACTCAACAGGAAGCTGGTACCACAAAATAACAACTGCAGGGCATTCTCTCCCTTCTCCAGTAACATTAAAGCGTGCTTACCCATCTGACAACATTAGGTCACACATTTCTCTGTGACCAGTTTCACAACACTGTAGCTTTAAGCAAAGACAAAAAAGTGCAACACTACACGGTCTTTTGAGGTTTTTATTTTTATACATTTTTTGTATTAAAAAGGAAAAAGCATAATTACCACAAATTACAAAGGACTAAAGCACTACTAGAATAATAAGTCACATCAGCCTAGAAAGCAGATACTCTGAATAATATTACTGTTTATAATACAAGCTCTCATTCAAGTATTTTACATTTTTTCCCCTCTTCCTTTCCCCCTCCCCCCAATGTGATGACAATCCTAGCACATGGGTTAAGAATTACATACATGGGATTGTGAATGGCAGGCCATATTAACAAGATCTTTTCCTCCCAGATGATATATGGTAACAGTTGGTTTAACCTCAAGAATAAATACAGCTGAAAGTGATTGCAAACACTCCTGTTTTTGATGCAGAAGGGATGATGCTGGAGCACACCGGGGGGGGGGGGGGGGAGAGAAATAAGCTGAAGAAGTTTTCTGGTCTGGACAACAGCTGCTCTTGGAACTATTGAGGAGGTTGCAGAGGCCTTAATGGCCATTGTGGTGGCTTTGTGGGCTTTTCTTAAGGCAGTCTCGTCCCTTTTGTCCATGCTATCCCTAATCGTGCCACCACCATCTTCAGATAGAAGGCCAGATGACTGTAGTGCTGCTACTGGATCATCCACTAATGGGACCTGAAAAAACTGATTAATGAAAGAAGGCAATGCATACAGTTTCTTAATAAAATTAGGAAATTGCCTGTTGCCATAGGTTTTGCCCATTCTGCCTTTAGCTGCTGCTCAAAGAATTCAGAGAAGGGAAATACCTTCTCCATTATGCTAGACCTAGGGAAGAATTCTTTGTTTCTTTTGGGCTTGCCTTTGGTCTTTGCCCACTCAGGTCTCAACCGCTTCTTGAAAAACTCTTGGAGTGGAACAATCCTTTCAGATGTATTAGATCTAGGGGAAAAAACTTTTTGTTTCCTTTTTGTCTATTTTTATAACTAGAAGCTGAAGAAGATTGGTCCTCCACAGTGGGAGTCTCTTTTAGCTCTAAGCTGCCATGATCTTGGCTAGGAGGTAATAGTAGTCCTCTGACTTAGAGAATCTTATGGACTATTCTGGGATTTCTATCTCTTCATCGTCTGAGAGGAATCCTCCTTCTTCCCTTTCTTCCATTTCACTACCTGAATATATGTCTGGGTCCCATTGAGAGTCATCTCCCTCTCTTTTTCCGGTATAATCTTCCTTCCTCGCTGCCTTAGTGGGCCAGTTAGGTCTCCCTCTGGAAGAAAGTATTCTTTCCATAGCCCTTTGTCTGGGAGGGGAAGGGCTGGAGGAAGGACAGGTGTAGGGTCTGTGCCTTCTGTCTCCACCCTGGCATAGGTTTGCCACCTCCTCCCTCATGATTTGTTTTAAGAAGTTTAGAAATTAAAGAGAAAACATTGAGGGTCCCAATCCCTGGGCACTACTCATAAGTAGACCCATTGTGTCGCTATCAAAGGTGGACCCCATTGCTGCTGCCACTTGTTCTGAAGAGTGGCTAATTGGCTTCTCTGGGTCCTGCAACATTTGTTTGGCTTATGGGTGTGGGAAACCACTCTGCAGCCTCCTCCTGGTCATTTGGCAACATCATCACTAGTGGTAAGCTCAGAAATGGCCGCCACAGAATAGGATGGCAGGGAAGAATGGCACCTCTTTTTGGTGCGCTTTTGGCTCTCATCTTTCTTTCGCCCAGGAATGGCTGTCAAAGAGGTTCCCAATCGGTCTGCAACAGTTGTATTGGCATTTAGATCGAGCTGGTGGTGAGGGGGGCTTCTAACCCTCCTTCCAAGAGGAAGCCATTGCTACCCTCGTGATGATCCATTTTGAAGCAGTCGAAAGACACATGCTGTGATATTGACAAACTAAGGAGATCAGAAAATGGCCACCACAGCTGACAGGTTTTCACCCGGCAGTAGATTCGATCATTGATATCTCTTCATGGAGACACGAGAGAAGTAAAACAATCATCGCATCATTTGCAGGTTGCTTATCCATTGTTTTTAGCAGCTTAATACAGACTTCACCCTAACGAAATCCCAACCCTCACCATTTAAAGCTCAGCACTGACTTCCAAGTCACAGTTTCATAGGCTGGAGATCCCAACCATCATGGTAGTGCACTACTTCAGAGACAAAGCCAATAACAAGAGGAGGAAGAGGAGGAGGAAGATTCAGCCATTCCTGATCCACAGCCACACAAATGCTACTATACAGCAGGAAGGTTTTTGTGGACAAAAGCATATGCCAAGAGCAGTGACATCCCACCCACCCCCCGAGGGATGTGAGTGGCCCAGGCCACCCTGTTGTACCAAAATTTATATTCTGGGAGGGAGGATGAATAGATGCGGGAACAATATCAGCTGAGGAAATAAAACAAAGGAGGGCAACAGATGGCTATCAGACTTGGAAGAATGAAGTCTGTAAAACCACACGGGAATGGCTTGAAGCCCATGCCCTTTCCATGCTTCCAACCATAGGGCATCCTCATCACAGATACGTCGGTCCTATGTTCAAGTGTCTTCAGAAAGTGAAAATGTAAACTAACAGAAATGTTACCTTTAGAATTTATTTTTAAAAAACCACACTTAATCTAAACCCATGTTGCTGAGATGAACTTCCATGCCACCCCCCCAAGAAACCCTCAATTAAAATTTTTCTAAAAATTGAAACATTTTTCCTAACCCCTCCCTTCTAAAGACCTAGCTGATTTTTTAAAAGTTATTGACAAATCTGAGTTTTAGGAGGAGAATCCAGGTGGAGAGATAACAGAGCGCTGCAGAGTTTGTTGCATTGTGTGATTATTTCTGTTTAACCAAAAGAAAACCGAAAAAAGCATGAACAATGGCTCCCATCCCATTACTTTATAAAAACTGATATCTAGCAGAGTATTGAGGTTACTGTGTCATGTTTTAACAGTACGGTCAACTAATCAGTAGCAAGATGAGAAATTACAGAACCTTGGAAGAACACAACTGCAGATAAAGCAAATGTAGGGAGAGGAGGAGGAAGGGTAAGGGGGATAAGGATAGACAGAGCACCAACACTTAGTAGTAATAAAGGTCACTTACTTTCACTATCTATCTTAAACCAGATTTCAGACTCCTCACCTAGACCTATCTGTAAGAGTTAAGGGCACCAGTTATCCAGCATGAGTCAGACTTTTTAGACACTTTTTTTTTTTTTTTTGCACAACAGGAAAACCGACTGATTTCCTACTAGGAAATATCAATAGCAGTATCAGATACAGGGCAGTTGCAGGTGGCTTCCTATGTAACAACTGAGGAGCTCTCTTCTGAGAAGGTACAACCACTACAGGGATCTGCGCATTGGAGACCAATGTCTGTTGAACTTGTTCCATACTGTGAATTAAAACATAAACAGAAACAAGTAATTACAACACAGGGATTCCTTTAATATTTGGTCTCTTCCCAAACTGATCATGACAAGATCCACTGTTTCTGCTGGGCATGGAGAGGATGAGACTGATGGCAACAACAGCAATGCACAGCATGCTAGAGCTACTTGCCTACATCCACACACTGGTACCACTGTCTTAAGTGCAAGAAAGTTCATACTCCCTCATAGCAGAAAAAGCCTAGGCTTCCTCAGTGGTGACCCGTCTTCAGTTTTTCTCTTCAACCATGGGTAAGAGAATTTGTGGTCTGACTTCACTGTATACCCAGTGATAACCAGATAGGAGCCAATGTGCCATTCTTATAGGGAGTAGGGATCAATTACCTTCTCCCTTCCCACCTGCTTTGCTTTAAAGAGAAAAGTTATACGCTGCAAGTATGCTCTTCTGCACCGCCAGTTCTTTTCTTTGCCTTTGATTCCTCATCAAAGACAAACACTTATCATCCAGCGCCCTTAGGTGAAAGAGGCAAGCCACTGCAAGTGCAACACTTAATGGCGAACGATCACTGGGAGGAAGATCAAAACCATTTCATTAAAAGGGCTGGCAAAAAGTATTGGTTATCTCACAACTGTGTCTAGCCCAAATGCTTGGCACCTTGTTACCTCAACAAATATGTTTCCCCCTATTTGGATAAGGTAAGAATACAAGATTGCCATCCTAGCCCATTTCCCTGTCACTACAAGCTAAAACCCCTGTCCAGGTTCAATGAACAGCTTGAGTGACTTCGGCGCACAGAGCCAGAGAAATGAAAAACAAGCAACAGAAGTCTGGACTGCTGATTCTACTGCTGCAGTGCAAGCTCAGGATAGGTACTCTGTGACACTTGGTGGAAGTGTGGAATGCTTTCTTTTATTACCCATGTCTTTTAAATGCTATGCATATGGCAGGCTAGGGATCTGATGCAGAATAGGATAGGATCACAACTGAAGCAGCAAATAAAAGTGTGCTGCTACTTGGCCACGCCATGCATTGTGTAGTCAACCAAGTCTGCTCCATAAACCCCCACTAACAGCATGCTCTGACACAGCTGGAACATTTGCTTGACAAAACAGACCCTTACCAGTAAGCCCTGCCTTCTCCATTACTTACATCTGTGGCACCCACACACAGGGAGAGTGATGCATCAACCATTTCCTCCCAACCCTTAATTCACAAATATATGCTCCAAACGGCTAACTGCAAGGCATATCAGTACTCTTTACTGACATGGGCCTCAGGGCCACACTCTCGGCAGGTTTTTGATATACTGCAAACACACCTGAAACGTAAACGCTAAAAACACAGCATCCTGAAGACTTCTCTTCCCACCCCACCTCATCTCACCCACTGGACCTGGATCCAATAAAACATCGGGACTGCTTCTGCTCATCCAAACGTTCTCTGTCCTCCCCCTGCCCATTTAGCAACAGCTTCAACATACCTCCCCAAACACTGCGAGACCTCCCAAAGTGATTTTTTTGGGAGTGCAAAGGCTGCAGCTACTTGAAATTGGCAACATACTACCTATGTGCACCTGGAAGTGCCTGCTACTCAAAATCCAGGGGAGGGGCTGGATCCAAGCCACGGTGTGTAGATCCATGTAAATGATATTGTACTCCTTTTTGCATCCACTGTTGTATCCCTTTTAAGAGTCACGTGACCAGCTGGAGTGGCACAATGACCAAATAACCTCAGATCTTCTCCCTTCCACTGAATTCTCTGGCTAACAGAACAGGAACAGTACACAAAGGAACGTACAAAATGCAAGGGGGTGGGGGAACAAAGTAGGTTGTTAGAAACCAGTTGCCTCTATGCAGATGCTTCCATCTTCTCAGATGTTCACTCCTATGGCTCCAATACCAGCTGCTTGTTAAGAGCTACACGTGCACACTGTGAATAGTTTCAGACTTCATTCCAAATGTTATCCAAAGTGAAAAACAAGCAAGGTGTTTTCTATCCAGTCCTGTTACACTGAGTGGAGGGACATAGTTCCAATACACGAAGTGATCATCTCATGATGCAAGACAGTCAAGGTTTCTGTAGCTAGGGAAGAGTCTAAGCGGCTGAGCCTTCCTTGGCTACATGGTCAACCCAGGGAAGGAAGGCAGGCTAGCATGCCACTGGTAAAAAGCAACTACAGAGAAGGAAGCCTGCACAGGGAAGTTAACACTTAGCAAGCTGCCTCTGATTTGGAAGCCACCACCACCACCACACACACACACACACACAAAAATCCACCTTGTTTGTGTTAAAGCTGATTTCTCTGTGTACACATTCTTCTTCAACCACATATGTGAAGGGCCATAAAATGCCCCTGTAGATCCTCTTTGTGAGAAGTACCCATTCCTGGCACATCTGCCTGCCTGCCCTGGGATAGGAAGAATTCATGAGATGAACAGGCTAGTTCCTGGCCTCTCCTGGTGGGGAAAGGAGGAAAATGGCAGTGCACCTGGAGGTCTGAGTGAGGCAACAAGCACATAGAGTTGCTGTACCAGGAAGGGCACCATAACAGTTGACACATTGACATCGGCATCAACTACAACAACAGCAAAGTCTCAGAATGAAGTGCCCTCGTATCCCCCTGCTCCAGAGGTTAACTGTCCATGTGGTTTGAACCAACATTCATCCAGAGGTCAAGAGTTCTGTTCCACAGTCAATGCCAAGCACAGCCAGGTCAGAGGGGAAATCTCCAGCTATTCCAGGCACGAGTCACTGGACCGGGAAACAGCAGAGGCCATCACCGCCTGGCTGAATCCAAACAGATACCGTGCTCCAAACTTGCTCAGAGAAGTCAGGGAGGCCTCCAAGTTCCCAACTCCACAATAAGGCAACTTATTTTCAAGGAAGGAAGCAAAGAAACAGATTTTTTTTTTAAACAAGTCTGTGAGTTTTTTTTGTTTTTAGGTTTTTTTTGTTTTGTTTTATGTTTTAAAGAGAAAGCTCTTTCAGCAAAGTCTCATAATGAGATAAGAATTCCTATGTGAAGGGAGACAATGTGCGAGTTTATGTTCTACCCATCACACGAAAGGAACGGAGCAAGCCCAAGGTGAGGTGGGCCTGCATTCAGCCAAGGTCCTTTGGTTGACTTCCAGTAGCTAGTCTATGATGGAAAGGGAGAGCAGCATGGAAGGGAGCCATAACAGAAGTGACACTGGTGGTGACAGTGGCAAAGGGACTCTCCTTGTGCATTGTCGTGCCTGCTGGACTTGGAAAGCCAAAAAAAAGAGAGGCTTGTTTCCAAATCGAACGTCATTGTTCTGCCTGCCCCTCCCACTTTCCAAGTGGGCTGCATAGTTGATCAGTGTTGAATGGGATGAGGAGGAGCTGGATCACGTGGCTGCGCGATGCAGAATTGTTTTGGTTAATCCCAACAAACTTCTTCTATCAATAATTTAAAACTTGATATATATATATATATATGTATATATATAATATATATATTTATAAAAAAAATCTCCCACTTCCCAACCCTACCCCTGAAAGGCGATAAGACATGAAAATGTGGGGCTCTGGCTCCTACCAATGACTTAATCACAGCGAGGAAAAAGGATGTTTTTCAACTTGGATCATCTTGTTTCTCCAGCCAACAAGAGAAATCATGTGCATTGTAGTTCCCACATCCCGCAAGCAGCCTAGTCTTGAACACCCACATTCCAACTCCTTTTCTGTCCCTGCCCCCCTTTCCATCAGAAGTTCTGGTGTGTCTATTTCCCCATCGTTTGAGTTTCCACAGTTGCTGTGGAAACGGCATGTGGCTGGCTCAGGTTTTTGGCATCCTCCTGCACAGGCTGGCTAGATGAGGCGGGGGCTTGGCTAGATGAGGCGGGGGTTTGATTGGAGGGGATCTGGCTGACTGATTTGTTGGAAGACTGGGATGGATATCGCTTCCTTCCATCTACTCCCAATGCTGATGGATATCTCTTGTGACCACCTTCTTCTCCTATAGGGGGCTGAAATAAAAAACATGAGCTGAATTATACAGCATTTCTTAAGCATCTCTAATTCTGAAGCACATCTAGTATTCTAACATCTTTTCCTCTTTATATGACACTCCCCAGATCCTGCTTGTTTATAAAATTAGTCCTTGAGTTGCTATATGTGCTTTCAATTATGCCTTATAACTACTAGAGTACAAACTGTAGCAGTCAACAGGTCTCTTATCGGTTGCATTTTCCAACCAGATTCAGCAGAAGAAATGTCTAGGAAAGAGAGATGGAGAAAAATGGCAGATAGGAAAAACAACAGGAGAGAAAGTGGAAGCTATCAGTGCTGGGCGATCAGTGTTTTCATTATAAATCTGCAGCTCTACCTACCAGATAATTCAAATGAAAAGGAAACACCCATTTCTGAAAGTGTATGATCAGACCATGTCAACTTCAAGCTGCTTATTGTTTGGACAGGAGGCAGAGCAAGAACAGTTAAATGAACTTTTTAGACATGGGACACTCAGGTTCAAATGAAACAGGTCGCTGGGCTTGAAAAGCATGGCACACAGTGGAAAAACATTATTGGCTACTTTTTTTAACTATGAAGAAAGCCCACAAATGAATGTCTTAATCAGAAATTAAGGTGTTGCCTATAAATTTCTGACCTCTCAACTTCACATTTTCTTGGATGAAATGGATTATCACTGTGGCATTCAATCTGATTTGGTTTTGAAACACTGGCACTTGAGTTGGATGGGGGGAGTGCAAAGTTTACATTTTTCAATTGAAAAAAAATTGCTTACCTGTAACTGATGATCTTCGAGTGGTCATCTGTGCATTCACACCTCTGGGATATAGTGCGCCTGTGCTGACCCCAATCAGTTCCTCTTGAAAGCTAAAGGGATTTTTGTGCCTGCTCCCCAGTCACGCACTGGCCCCACTGTGCATGACCAAGGGAGGGGCACGACAATCCCGCCAGTTCCTTATGACCGTTGCCATCAATCTCAGAGTAATAAAAAAAGGAGAGTAATAACAAAAGCAGAGGGGAAGGAGGGCAGGTGGTGTGAATGCTCAGATGACCACTCGAAGATCATCAGTTACAGGTAAGCAACCTGTTTATCTTCTTCGTGGCCTCTGTGCATCACACCTCTGGGAGATTAGCAAGCAAAAACAGGCCTACCTAGAGGAGGGCGCTGAAGGTCCTAGACTTGCACCGCCTGCAACACTGCCTGTCCCACCACAGAACGTTGATGAAGATGCACATCCAGGGGGTAATGCTTCACGAACGTGTGTGGGGGTAGCCCAGGTTGCTGCTTGATAGATGTCAGTGAGCGACAAAACTCTCAGGAAGGCTATGGATGTGGCTACTGCCCAGGTGGAATGCGCTTGGAGCGGGCCCGGAAGTGGCCATTTGGCCAGTAAGTAGCACAGTTTGATGGTTTCCACAATCCACTTGGATAGACATTGCGAAGAAAGCTTCTTCCCCTGCACAGGTGTGCTATAGGAGATGAACAAGGCTGGTGACTGACAGAATGATCTTGTTCTATCGAGGTAGAAGAGTATGGCTCTCTTGACATCTAGAGTATGAAGACAGCATTCCTCGTTGCTTGTAGGGTACGGGAAAAACGTTGGAAGAGCAATGTCCACTCGCAAATAGAACTCAGAAACAACCTTGAGCAGGAAAGAGAAATCCGGGGCCAAGATGACACCATCATGGTGAAAAACCAAATATGGAGAATCGCAATGGAGTGCAGACAATTCGCTCACTCGTCTTGCTGAGGTAATGGCTACTAGGAAGGCAGTCTTCCATGAGAGAATCTGCAGACTAGATGTGGCCATGGGCTCAAATGGTTTGGACAGTACTAGAAGTAAGTCTCAGGAGGAAGTTGGCCCACGAGCCAGAGGAAAGAGGCGAGTGAGGCCCTTCAAAAACTGCTTTGTTTGTGGGTGAGAAAAAACGGAACAGCCATCCACCACAGGATGATTGGCGGAAATGGTGGCTAAATAGACTCTTAAAGAGGAGCAACTAAGACCCAAGTCCAGGCGGGTCAACAAGAATCCGAAAACTATCCTCAAGTCTGTAGGGGGCAGTGGTAAACCCAATGACTTGAGATAAGACAGGAATTTCTTCTACTTCCCTTCATAGGAAGTGCGTGTAGCTGGCTTCCAACAGTTCAACAGAACAAGGTCTATCCTGTTTTTGAGCTGTGCTAGGGGATTCTCCATGCCATGAGTTTGAGGTGTGGTACATCGTGGTGAAGCACTCTGCCCTCCTGAGTCAGGAGGAGATCTGGTGCCCGGGGGAAATGCATGTATGTGCCCCGGGACATGTGGAGTAAAGTTGGGAACCAGTGCTGACATGGCCACCAGGGTGCCACAAGGATGCATTGAATTTGTTCCTTCATGATCTTGCTCAGCACTCTGGTAAGTAGAGGAATTGGTGGGAACAGGTGCATGTACCTGTGGGACCATGGGAACAGAAGGCCGTCCCCCAGAGACAGAGGGTCCTGTCCCGTCCCGGTACAGAACAGACAACACTTCCCATTCTGACGCATCGCAAATGCATCGATTTCTGGGTGACCCCATGTCACGGCTCCTGCTGACTACGAGCAAGTGGCTCCCGCTGAGTGTGAACAAGCAGCCCCAGCAGAGGATCTAAGTTTATTTATTTATTTTTCACATTTATATCCCGCCCTCCCCAGTGGGCTCAGGGCAACTAACAAGGGCAGGACAACAGCCATGCCGAAGGTAAAAACATAATAAAAAAGTGCTGCTGGGGATGAGCTCTCAATGCCGGAAACTCCTGCACCTGACAGGGCTGAGATTCTAGAGGCTACCCCAGCAACAGCTGAGGCAGAAGCATGCCCAGACAGTTCTCCTCCTGATTCACCCCCACCAGTATCCCGCTTGAGAGAACAGCGACGACGGGATATGGCAATCTGGCGGCGAGAGGCACACATGCATGGCAGGCGCTCATTTAGTCCTGAGTATTAGCAGGAGCTGGGACTCACTTGTGGCGCGCTAATTGCCAGCAGGCTTATGGGCTATTTAACTCACGCCTCACGCCAACAAATTGTGCCAGCAACTAGTCTCTTCGGACGAAGTTCTGCACCTCCTCGCTCGTGATCCTAGCTCCTGGTTCCTGTCTGGATTTCCTCAGCTCCTTGACCTCGGCTTGAATGACTACGCTTCAACTCTGCACCCCAAACTTTTGACTTGCTGGCTCTTGACTCTTTTGGACTCTGGTTCCCTGATAACTCTAACGGTTTGTGCTTTGAACTTGGTTACCCGGTTGGTTTGCTTGCCTGGCTCTTGACTTTGGACTGTACCTTGACCACCCTGCTCTTGCTTTGTGTATTGGACTTCATTTCCGGCTAACTGGTGTGAGTGGCTCTTGACCTTGGACTGTATCCTGACTACCTCGCCCCTGCCTAAGCCCCACATTGTGACACCCCATCTGTGGAAAATTGGTTGGAGGTAAACCCAGTTGAGCTCCCACTCGTGGAGGGATGCGCCTCCTCTGCTCAGAAAGTCTGCATGCACATTGAGCGATCCTGGCAGGTGAGCAGCAATGATGAACACACCCCGGGATTGACACTTGGTCCAAATCTCCCGGGCCAGTCGACAGAGTCCCCTGGACACTGTCCTGCCTTGCCTGTTCAGGTAACACAATGCAGTGGTGTTGTCTGTCAGGATTGCCACCGTACGGTGAGCCATGAGGTGGCGAAAGGACCTTAGGGCATAATGGATGGCCAGCAGTTCCAGGAAGTTGATGTGTTTGTGGGCCACATGAGGTTCCCATTTGGTGCCCACACACACACCTTGGGGGTGAGCCCCCCATCCCCATAGGGATGCATCTGTGGTTAGGGTCATTTCAGGGCTGGGTGCAAGAAATGGGGCTCCATGCAGGAGGTTGTATGGGGTTTCCCACCACTGTAGGGAATTCAGCACTTGCACAGGTAGCACAATCCACTGAGATTGGGGCTGCCACTGTGGATGGAAACGTTTGAGGAACCACAGCTGAAGTGGTCTCATCTGTAGTCTGGTGAAGACAAGTACCGCTGTGGTGACAGCCATCAGACCCCAGAGCCACTGAATCTGCTTTGCTGATGCATCTCCCTGTGTTTTTATCAGGTTGATCAGAGCGATAATGTCTCCCACTCTTCTGGGAGGGAGAAAGGCTTGGCAGACAGTCAAATCCAAAATCGCTCTGATAAACTGGACTCTCAATGAAGGAAGGTATGCCGCGATGACAATAATAATTTTTGTAAAGACTCTGGGCGTTGTCGAGAGTCCAAAAGGGAGGGCTTTGTACTGAAAATAGCCTTCTGTGACTGCAAAACACAGAAACTTCCTGTGAGATGGGTGGCTAGTTATATGATAATATGCGTCTTGCAAGTCCAGGGTTACCATCCAGACACCTTTGCTGAGAAGGGGGAGAATGCTTTGTAATGTTGTCATTCGGAATTTCCGATAGGAGATAAACTGGTTGAGTCCCCTGAGGTCCATAATAGGACAGAGTCCCCCATCTTTTTTGGGGACCGTAAAAATAATAGGAGTAGAACCCGTGTTGATGCTGTGCTGTCGGGACTGGTTTTATTGCGTCCCTTTGAAGAAGGTTCTCGATTTCTTCCAGGAGCGTACTGGATGGTGGAATAGTTATGAAGTTGGGGGCCTCGGGTACCTGGATAAATCCTATGAGGTACCCCTTTTCGATGACGGGGAGTACTCACTGGACTGATGTTATTCGCTGCCAAGCAGCAAGGTAGGGAGACAGGCGTGTAGGGGTGGGATGACAGGAGTCAAAGGCTCTGCTTGGAAGCTTTCGGAGTCTTAGCCTTAGGCTGAGAGATGGATGAGAATTTTGATTTGTGCCCATAAGGGCGGGAAGACACAGTGGGTGAGCGTTGCCACTGTGTTTCCAGGGATGACTTAAGAGAGGATCAGCGAGACCATGGCTTGTTCCAGGATTTCGCTTTGGATAGTTTAGGAGCCGATGTGACTCCTAAATTTCGCAACGTCTTTATACTTTTGTCTAGGTCTTGCAGGACCGTATCAGTCGTGGCACTGAAAGGGGCCCTCACCTTCTAATGGAAGGTCCTCAATGAGAGTCCTGGTGTCCTGCGGTAGGACAGTAGAATGCAACCAAGCGTGACGTCGGAGGGTAACTGCTGAAGTCAGTGTTTTGGCGGCCGCATCCAATGTGTGCTTAGCTGCATTGAGCTGATGCTTAGCCAAAAGCATTCCGTCCTTTTGAATCCTGCAAGCCTGACGGTTAGCGTCCTCAGGGAGGGTTGCAATAAATTCAGACATCTGCTCCCAAAGAGCAAATGGATATCTCCCCATATATGCTGTATAGTTTGAGGTCTTGATGCCAAGTGCTCCTAGGGAATAAGATTTTCGTCCAAACGAATTACATTTCCTTCCTTCTTTCTCAGAGGGGGTGGAATGACTGCATCTGCCCTTGGAGGAAGAAGTGACTATGACGGAATTACGTTTAGGGTGGGTAAACAGAAATTCAACACCCTGCTTCTGCACCTTATACATATGATCTACCCTCCGGCTTGAGACGGGGGTAGATGCCGGGTGAGACCATGAGACTTTAGCTGCTTGAAGGAGGACTGAAGTAATCAGTAAGGCAATCAGGGTAGAGGTGTCCATCTGGACGATATCGAACATGGAATCTGTCACAGTAGGCAGGGGTTGTACCGTAGACAGTGTGAGCATGTTAGCCATCCGCTTGATGAAATCCCCATAGGGTTTTAAGTCTTCCGAAGGGGAGATTGGAAGATCATCGCCCACTTGTTGAGGTGGCGAGGGTTCCACCGGAGGATCGGGGTTTTCATCCCCTGATTGGGAGGAAGCGTCTGAAGAGGCGGAGTACTCAGACGGTTCAGAAAAAGACATAGGTGGCATCGGTATCAATAGAGTCGGATCCAATAGACTTTTAAACTTTGGAATTGTCAGGTGCGATGGCTTGGGGGGGTTACCTGTCGGCCTCGACGGTTGGGGCCTCGCAAACTTTGGTGTCGATGCAGGATCTCGATACCGGGAGAGACGTGAAGAGGTGGACTGACGGTCCCATTCCATCGGTTGGGATGGGAACCACAGCATACTGCCTGTAAATGGATAGGCCCCCTTTCATGTATTGCCACTGCCGTTGGTCCCAGGAGGGCGGTGGCGGCGGGAGGATCGGTGCCGTTGGTCAGTCTCGATCATCAGGTCGGAGCTGTGAAGGACGGACAGATGCATCGGCTCCATGGTCTAAGTGCAGACTTTTGACACTGGAAGACCGGGAGATCTGTGTTAAGTCCATATCGTGCTCAGAGGCAGTGAGCTGGATAGGATGCAGCGAAGGCAACCGAGGTACACCTTGTGACTGCTGTTGGCACTGAGAGGCAAGTGAAGCAGCCCCTACAAGATTCGATTCCATGGCCCTCCGAGGGGTCAGCGGAGATTGCACAGGGGGAGTTTTCTTATGCTTTTTAAGCTTGACTGGCCGATCACCCTTGCCTTCCCTGCATTTTTTGGAGGGAGTATTGGCTAAGGACTGAGATGTCCAGGCCAAGCGTTTCAGCATTGGGCGGTCAACATCTATGTGAGTTGGTATCGGGGACAGCGCAGCCGTCAATGCTGAGGCGACAGTTGACACTGATGCATGCCCTGAAATGTCCTGTGATGACATCGGTGAAAGCGCTAGCTCCAAAAGCGCAACAGGAAGTCTGGCAGCTCTGTCCTTCCTTGTCTGCTTCAAAAACTTCGCACAATGAGCACAAGAGTCCACTCGGTGCGATTCCCTGAGGCACAAAAGGCAAAGCGAGTGTCCGTCGGGAGCGATCTTGCTGCAGCACTTACGGCACCGTTTGCAGCACTTAAGGCACCGTTTGAAGAAACCCCGCCTCTTGGCCATGGGGGGGGCACACACGACAGAGTCCAAAAAGCAAATAAATCCGTAGAAATAAAGTCCTTTCACTTAACAAAAATAAACAAGAAGAACACAAAGAAACTTCGAAGAAAACGAGGAATAGGCCTAAAGTCCAAATTGTTTACCTACCGAAGCAGAGAATAGCCTACCAGCGCAGCGGTCAGAAGAGAACTGGCGGGATTGTTGTGCCCTTCCCTTGGTCATGCGCAGTGGGGTCGGCGCGTGACTGGGGAGCGGGTGCGAAAATCACTTTCGCTTTCAAGAGGAACCGATCAAGGTCGGCGCAGGCGCACTATATCCCAGAGGTGTGATGCACAAAGACCACGAAGAAGATCAGGAAACGTTGGAGAGAACTGAAAAAATCCAGCTATACAATTCTAGAAACTTCAGCTGGTCTGGAAAGTGATTGCCCAGCTGATGTCCGAGGCAACTTGCTTTCACCATATTCGTTCACTGTTTCCACTTCAATATTTGTTTCCAAGCCCAAGACTTCCAGATCCTAATCTGACACTATAACAACTACACCAGACTGGCTGTCACATGATTTTATTTAATTGTCTTTTGAAAACTTATCAGAAGGAATACCTGGTGCGAATAGTGCGGGGGGGGGGGGTGTCTGCTGAAGCACTCATATTATTGCATCATCCCTGGTTAAAATGAGAGAGAGAACACAATGTTTGGCACATGTTTTTGAACTGGATCTGTGTTTTATGCAGATGTTATTGAGCAACCAATAGGAATTCAAGGAAACAGTAACAGAAGATCCGTCAGTACCTTGAAACCATGTGCTAAAGATGCATATATGCTTTTTCAGGTATTGTATTATTTTTTTACTTTTTCTTCTTAACTTTATACTTGTAATTCTGTTTTACACACTGTTTTACACAGAGAATATTATTCATATGAAGGCTTCAGTTTATGCAAACAGGCAGTACTCTAAACACTTACATCTAGTAAAAGAACTGCAGGACAGTTTCTGCTGCTTAACTCTGTATATTTTAGAGGAAAAGCAAATGTTCATCGTATCCACTGAGACCAGTACCAAAAAGCTGGTGCTTTTACAAGGCAAACTCAGTGTGTTAATATAGGATGGCCCTGACTTGGATAGCCCAATCTTGTCAGATCTCAGAAGCTATGCAGGGACAGCCCTCGTTAGTATCTGGATGGGAGACCACCAAGGAAATCCACAGTCACTAGACAAACCACCTCAGTTCATGTCTTGCCTTGAAAACCTTATGGGGTCACTGTAAGTCAGCTGTGATTTGACAGCAAAAGGGGGAGGAGGCAATTTTGGTCCTACAAGGCACAGCTGCTCCAACACACCTTCAGGCACATGATCAAAATAATGAAGGCCACATGTGACTATGTTAAAATGTGCAGTGTGATGTATAGCTCAAAGATGGGATGGATGATCCCGGGTACCACAACTCACAATTCATTGCCACCAAGTAATGCCAATCAATAATTAAGAAACCTCTGGGACAGACAGTATGGGACCCATGGCCGCTACTTACCAGCTTCATAATCTTTTATAGTTTCTTCTTGAAAATCCTTAAATATGTCAGGCCGGAATTTTTTCTCCAGCCCATAGCTGTAGTATCTAAAAAGGCACTCCAGTCCATACCTGCAAGATCATGGACACACCCATCATCATTAGTTCCCCGGGATACAATTCAGCTGCAAGGCTATACCGAACATTTCCTTAAGGAATCAGCTTCTTTTGTGTCACCAGGCACCCAGAAAAGGCAAATGTCCAAGGCTCCCCTGAAACCCCCCCCCAACCTGGAAGACCAAGCATGCTGCTAGAGATCTAATCTATTACTCCCGTCTCTGCATGATCTAGTCCATTACTCCCTCTCTCTATGTGATTCCTAGGGTTACCAACTCTGGGTTGGGAAATTCCTGAAATACACCCTCCAAAGCAGCCATATTTTGCAGGGGAACCAATCTTAATAGCCTGGAGATTAATTTCAGATCTACAGGCCCCACCTGGAGAAGGCACAGTCTATGCAAAAACACAATGCTTCCCTGGAAAATGCCCCTTGGCATTATTTGTAAAACTTTCATTCTTTTCCATCCTCTGCTCTTCACACACCACCTAATACGCCACAGGTATTTGTAAAACTTTCAATCTATACCTTGTGGCTAATAGCCACTGCTGGATCTCTGCTCCATATGCTTATCTAATTCCCTCTTGAAGCTGTGCATGCTTGTAGCTACCACCACCTCCTGTGGCAGTGAATTCCATGTGTTAATCACTGTTTGGATCATCTTTAAATCACTCTTTCCATCCTCTGCTCTTAACACACCACCTAATATGCCAAATGTATCCCCTTCCCACCAGTACCCACAATTTCCTCACTGACAGCTTTCTCAGTGTTCCTCTCTTGTCATCTAAAGTTTCTTTCAAGCTTATCCTCCAACTTCCTGCCCTTAACGCAATTAGTTGATGATGATACACTGAAGATACTCCAGCCTACCTGTACCCTTCTTTTGCATCTTCCAAGGCCAGCTGCTTGAACTCCTCATACATTTTTTTGTTAAAGTGATCACGAAGAAAGAATGACCAGAATCTGAATAGTGTGTTCATTTCCTGGGACTGACCAATGCCTAGTCGCTTACGTTCTGTTCAGGGAAAAAGAGGCACACTGTAATAACTGCGAGATCCATGGAACTTTCCTAAAAGGGAAATTTTACCTATCACATGGATCAGTTCACCTTACCCTGTACACACAAATGAAAATATTTGTTCAGTCCTGGGAAAAGTGGGGAGGGGTTTCCTACTGCCACAGTAAAAGGAGAAGCTTGGTCTCTTGTTTACACATGATACAGGAAGAAACAGGAAGATAGACATCTGCCCTTCCTTCAAAATCTGATGGGAAGATTCAATTCATCAGGATATCCTCTACACCGATGAGAAGGAGCATTAACAGCAAGTGCCATAGGCTTATGACTTTACACATTTTTATTCTACCCTTCCTCCAATGAGCTTAGAGCGGCATACTTGGTTCTCCCTTCCTCTTTTTATCCCTTATGAAATAATCCCCAAAGAAACCAAGGACATTATCATCCTGTGACAACCAGGAATAGCTTGGCTTCCAGGTTAAAGGCAAACTGCCCACATCAGTCAAGAAAACTGACATTAAATCACATTCTGCCTGTATATCTTTACAATACAAGAACCCCGTTTCCGCCCCATCACTGCAGACCATTTTAGTTTTCAAATATTAAGCAGATGCTGCCCACAGATCACTAAACATACAATCATGAGCCCTTGTAAATTGAAAACAACAACAACAAAGCTTCTCAGCTGACTAAGGGCACGCAAACAGCCATTAAGGAAATGCAAAAAGTGAATGCCAGCCACTTCTATCAGTAAACATTTGGCAAGCAAATCCTGGCCATACCTGCTGACAGATCCACCATTCCACTGTAGGAATGGCCAAGACACAATTCTAGCATTAAACAGACTTCTCATGCTCAGAACTGGAATACTCTGCATGAAAGCCAAGTATACAGCTTTGGCTGTGTGTATCAGACTCACCATTAAGGCAGCGCCGGCGATATTTGTGGTAGACATGTTGCGTGAAACCATTTTCCTTAAGGAGTTCATGGGAGGGGTGCTGGAACTTGGGCAATGACTGTGGAGTGCACCCATAGCTGCCGATGGCTGGGGTGCCTTCTGAAGGGCTGGAACTAAGCAAAATGAAACACTGTAAGTAAAGCGATCAACAACATTGCTCAAATACTGCTGGCATTTTCCAAACAAATCACCAAGAGGATCAAAGGAAGATCTTTTCTAGTTACAGGCATGTTTGTGAGCAAGTACTAAAAGCTGATAATGAGTTCTTAATTGGAGGGTGAGGATAAAATATTAAAATGGAACAACAAGCCCAGCCCCCTTAGTGAGGACACCACAAATTCATGCACTCAATTATGCTTTTCAGGAAGCAGTGTAAACCTTAAAAAAAAAAAAACACCCTATTTTCCAGCTATACTGACTTGGGTCTTCAGATCACCAACTCTCAGCTTTTTGGTACCTGATGGATGCAGTTCGAGGCCTATGTTCTCGGGAATCCATCACCCACCCAACGTGGCATTCCATTGGAGGATTAGAACTATGCCGCGTCTTCCTCTTCCGGGGTGTCTGCAAGGAACAGGGCTCAGATGAAACATCTCTGCTTTATGAAGGCTGACATCTCCCAGAACCCTCAAATCAGCAGAGACCAGAAAAGCAGTCACAAAAAACTCCAAGGATCATCACATCTATGTACGTATAGGGCAAGCCTCTGGTATGCAGCCCTTACCTTGGCATCTATCAACCTGCCTTCTTTAACCACTGGGTAAAACCGAGGTGTCTGAGTTGGGTCTTTCAGCTGAGGTGTGCGAGGGGTCCGTGGAGTCCTGGCATTGCGGTAGTTTGGGGATTCTGGCACAGTTGTTGGCAAAGATCGGGCAATGGTTGAAGGCTCTGGCACACCAAAGAGTTTATTGGCCAGAGCATCTGTAGGAACTAAAGGATGAAATCATTTGCTAAAATTAATACCCTGAATTCTTCTGCTTTTAACAGAACAGTCTTCCAACAATAAAAGCAATTTATTTCCAATACCCATCTAATGGTCTCTCCAAGAGAAAAAGAAGCGGATAGTAAGAGCTTCTATTGATAGTAAAAGCTGCTTCTTCTTTTTTAAATCACGGCCCTCCTATAAACAACTGAAACATTTGGGAGGACCGCCTGCCAAATTCTTTACAAAAATTCCTATGGAAAATTGGGAAATTTGGGGAGCACTAAAAACTCTTTTGGAGCCAGTGACGGGGTTTTACTCACTCAAAATATATACCATGAACAATTTTACATAAGACAACCAACATTAGTTATGTCAGCTGTATACATTGCTATGTCTATTGTAGACAAATATGTTTTCAAAAATATGTTTTGTTACTTAAATGTGAATGATTTTGGGAACAATTCATATGCTATGTGTTTGATGATAATAAATTTTTAAAGAATTCAGTGTATTCAATGTTATAAAGAGTAGCTTCATACAGCCAGTGTGATCTAGTGGTTAAAAGTGCTGGACTAAGATTTGGGAAACCCAGCTTTGAATCCCCACTCTGCCATGGAAGCTTGCTGGGTAACTTTGGGCCAATTAAACACTTTCAGCCTAACCTACCTCACAGGGTTGTTGTGAGGGTAACACAAAGGAGAAGAGAATGATGGGTTCCCACTGGAGAGAAAAGCAGGATATAAATAAAGTAAATAAATAAAATCATTTAACTTGACTCACTATACCAAATATGATGGTATAGTCACTTGTGACTATATGAGACTGTTTCTGTTCAAACAATACACTTTTTCTCCATGGCGTCAACATTTCTAGAAGCTTTACATATCTGTTTCCACCATGGTAGGCAGGATTCTCTTCTCCATTTTATCTTAAGAACCCTATAAAATAACTTCAGTTGAAAGAGTAGCACTTGGAGAAAGATCACCTTGTGAGCAATGCTCCCTCTAAGCCGTGGAGGCTTGTGAACAAAAATTCTACTTTGTGAGCTACTGGCATTAAAGTTGTGAGCGAGTGATTTGGCTACTGCATAAATTAGTTTGCTCTGGAGCCATCCCTTCCTGAGCCGAGACAAAAATCTGTAAGCTGGAGGCTAAAAAACTGTGAGCTACCTCACACTATCTCAGCTTAGAGGGAACACTGCTCGTGAGTGTAATAATGGGAGCCACAGGATTTGGACCAGAGTCTTCTTGGCTTAGTCCTACACACAGAACACTAGACCACACTGCCTCTCTCCACATAGTGGTTTTTAAAAAAAACAAAATGACAACTGAGAGCTGCCTGATAAACACGAAATTATGCTGGTAGCTAGAAATATATTTCCAATGTTTAATATAAAAGATAATTAAACTGGAATAGCCAAGAAATGTATGTTGAATGCTTATAGGTGTACGATGGCTGAGAATCTCTTTTGAAAACCAGAAAGAGTTTTAAGACACAACCAGCATGCTGCAGTGGATTTGACGTCTTCCTACCTAGCTGGAATCTGGGTGGCCCAGGTGGGACTTCCTGATTTGGATCCACAGGAGGCTCTGGAGTCAGAGTGTTAAACTGCTCTCGGCTTATCATATTCACCTTCTTGAAGTTCTCAACTTCTTGCTGTAGTTGAAAAAAGTGGATATAAAAATTAAATGCTTTCAACCAAAGACAGCAGGGCAAAGAATCAAACAACCAAGCCAGCAGTGCCTTAAAAGACATCTGGTTGTCCTCGACCAGCCAGGGCCTTCTCAGGCCTGGCTCCAACCTGGTGGAACTCTCTGCCAAATGACATCAGGGCCCCGCGGGACTTAATGCAATTCTGTAGGGCCCGCAAGGCAGAGATGTTCTGCCAGGCTTTTGGTTGAGGACAACGAGGGGTTTTATTATGGCTGGCACCCTCCTCCTATCTCCCATCTTTAGGACAACGAGGACCTCCTCCTTGCCCTGTCCATGAGGTGGCAACACAGTCAGGAACTGGCTAAGATAAATTTACACACCATCTGGGGACTGTTTTTAAGAATGAAATGCTTTTATGTAATGGTTATAATTTTAACAATGCTTATGGTGTATTTTATTCTACTGTTGTTCATCAGCCAGAGCCCTGTGAACTCAGGGACTGGGCAATTCATAAATTTAAATTATAAATAAATAAAAATATAAACCTCAGCAGCTGATGTTCTGGTTTAAGAACTGCTGCCTTTCCCAGTGCATAAGGATTTTAAATAAAGCAATACATAACAGCTACCACCTAATATCAAGGTCTGTGCTGTAAAACCTGAATACAAAATACTCTGTGTCCTGCCTTTATGGTATCTGACATAGCATAATGAAAACGACAACATCCTGGAACACATAAACCTGAGCTGGCACACATTCTGAACTGATGCAGGACTTCCTCAACTTTAGTTGTTTTGACTGTTTGAGCTGGAAACAAAGTGATACAGTCAGGACTGTGTTATTCTCTGGATGACCTGGAAACACTGGCCACAAACAGCCAAGAGAAGTGTATGCTTGAAGATTCCACCTTTCCACATCTGTGGCACCATCCTTGAAACAAAGGACAACTTTATGTACTGTCCAATGTCCTTGTGTTCTCTGTACTAGAGCACTATTAGGGAAAGCAAACTCTTCAGGACAAAAGACAGGAAAGACAATCTATACACCCCTCTTGTATTTTAGGTACTACAAGCTATTTTTGAAACATACCAGGCTCTAGTTCCAACAGTGTCAAAATCCACATGCCAATTCACATTTTGATTTCATTATGAAATGTAATGAGCAGCCTTCCCCTCCCACCTCATCCAAAGCTCCTTTAGGTGAGAATATACATTTTAGCCATGGAATATACACTAGGTCGATTGGACACAACAATAAGGTGTCCTCAGAAAATGCCTATGGAATTTTAAGACAATATCTAGATTGTGAAGCTCATGACTATGGTATAGTGTACAGTACCACAGGAATATATTGCAGTTCATTCAGTAGTTTGCATATGGGCACTTTAGTAAGGACCTTTACACACAGTTATTTCAAATTACAACTAAAGGAGTGTCCTTGAGTGATAGGAAATTTTTCTGCCAATTTCCCTCAGGAAACCTCTACTGACAGAGCAAGTCCAGCAAGTCAGCATGTAATTTATGAAAATCCACGTCCCTAGCTGGAACACCTTTTTGTACAATGTCTGTCCTTTCAGGTAAAGAATCATATGAATTGATGAGTCACCTACTATACACCTGAAGGCCAGTTTGGTGCATGGACTCTAATCTGGGAGAACTGGGTTTGATTCCCCACTCCTCCACTTGCAGCTGCTAGATGACCTTGGGCAAGCCATCGTTCTGTCAGAGCTGTTCTCTCAGAGCTCTCTCAGCCCCACCTACCTCACAGAGTGTCTGCTGTGGGGAGGGGAAGGGAAAGGCGTTTGTAAGCCGCTCTGAGATGCCAAGTGAAGGGCGGGGTATAAATCCAGTATCATCATCATCTTCTTCTTCTTTTTCAACAACCTTAGCTACCTAACCTTAGACAGCCACCAGAATGTCCGCATCTAGCTTTAGTAAGCACCACAATTCAAGACCTGAATCTGTGTTTAGCAGCTGGTCTTTGCATGCCTTCAAACACTGCCAGAGCTCCCACGTATTTTGCACATGCTCAGACCATTTAAAAACCCCCACAGAATTTAAGGCTGAGTTCTACAACCAAACAGATTCCACAGCTATGAACTCAAATTAAGCCCTGTCTACTATGAGGTAGGACGCAGAAGAAGTGTCAGAGAGTTGGGAAGACCAAATTCCTCACTAAGTAGGTAAAATATTTTCCACCAAAAATTTCAGCTCCACTCAGATGCAGCACTTGGTGCTGTATTCCTCTCTTCCCTACTTGTCATGCTCTGTGACACCCAGCTTCTAACTCAGAGGCCGGTGCTGTGCCATGCAAAAGTCAGGCCATTTGTCCAAAGCTCCTAGCCCCTTGAGATGGCTCAATTTTTGAAGATTTTAATGCAGACCACACTGAAGACTCCCCGGAGGCTTGGAAAAGAAGGGACTGCCAACCCATGTGACATTTTAGTGGGTGGTGGAAGAGAAGAATTAAAGATGCTGTAACCATAGGGCTAGCAGAAGTGAACAGAACATGCCTGTTTGTAATATCACAATGTTGGAGTGCAGATGCCTGCCCATATTCAAGCACAACCTTTCTGCAGCATTATGCAGAAAGATGTCCTCCACAAGGAAAAGCAGGTGTCATAAATTTTAGCTATGTTTCAGCAACTGGCACAGCCCCTTTTATACCTCTAGTTCCCCCCTGCCCAAACAGGGATAAGCCCGTACATGCAGCTTTATACAAACAGGGCTTCAAGCCATGCCTCAGTGTGGGAAGGTTTAAGCAAACAACATGAAAAGAAAGTCCTAAATACAAGTGCTTTGGAGGAAGAAGCGATGGAAAGTGAAAGCAACGAGGTAGCAAACTGTTATTTGATTAGTGTGTGGCTTTGACTCCCCCTTGATTTCTTGCTTTGCAGTCACATTATGGTTTCTGAATACTGTGTTTGTTTGTTTTTTAAGTTGTTGTTGTAGTAGTCCTAGTGGATCTTCTTGGTTTTGTATTTTGTTTTCAATTGTATTCAGTGATTATACACATGAATTGTATACTGTTGTGAACCACTTTAGGCACATGTCTCTAAAGCAATAAGACAAATATTTTAACAATAAGCACACACACCCTGCCTACACCCAGCACAGATCACACCTGTTTTTGTTCGTGCTAAAATAGTAGTCCTGGTTCTCACCTTTATCTGAGAGTACTCTGGCTCAAACTGCTCTGTCCACAGGTCCTGTTCGTAGTAATAAAGTCCATCATTGATCACCTTGGCCAACTCTGAGCTCATCTTGGCCCTGGATGTGTGGTTGCCTGTTCTATCTCCCCCTGGGTGCCGGCGGAGATAAGGTGGTGTCTGTGTCACAATCAAAATCTTATTCACATCCCTGTCATCAATCTCATAGTCTGAATCCTCATCTGACCAATCAGTGAAAGTGTTTTTACGGCCATCCATCTGTTCCATTTCCTCATCAAACAGGAAGTCCAGTTCTTCCGGTTCATCCTGGTCCTTTTGTTTCTGAGGCATCTTGGATTCTTCTGGTTTCTGGAATCAAACATGTAACACTGTAAAAGTCAACGGGGACACTGATCACAGGAAACCAAGTAGGGTCTGAAACAGCAAAAAACTTACAGACGGTGAGGTTTCAGGCTGAGACTCAAGATAAAAGTCAATGCCTAACAAACTAAGCATAACCTGACAACATAAAGCCCACATTATCCCCAGTTAATCTTATGTCATACTATATTCATTGACCCTCCAAGAAACATGAAAGAGTAGAAACCTTATACTCATGTGAAATCAAAGCTTAGACAGGTGGGCCAACAGACTATTATTTCTGACAAGACAGTAGTGCTTTGATTCTTAACTAATGCAGAGATGGATCATACTCCCTACTAGCATTCTTAATACAACCTATGTTTAAGACAAAAAAAGATCACCATGAACTTTCTAGAAACTTCATATTTTTGCCCAGTGCTAAACATTATGTCCATTTGAAAATCTGGTCTCCTGAAGAACGACAGACAACATAATTCTATTGGCTACCTTGGGTCTAGCTGGGGAAGGCCTAGGCCTCTTCTTCACTTCAATCCATGTCTCTGAGTCCAAGTCTGGCAGGCTGGCAGAAAGGCCTTTGGGCATTGTCTTCAGATTACTAACTTCTTCTGTTTTGGTTGGCACAGGGCTGGCAGAACGGGGAGACCCAGGTGCAGATTCTGTAACATGTATTTCAGTAAAATGTAAATGTTGGCACATGTAGGCAAGTACTCTTTGCAGGTGCTAAGAAAGAGTAGCTTCATATTGTGAATAACACATATCTAGCTAGTAGAGGCACATGCTCCTGAGTAGAGATGTTTCCCCTCCCCCAAGCCACACACACATTTTAATAGCGCTTAATATGTATTAATTTATAAAGGACAAAGTGTAGATTGTATCCTGTTAGCTTTTCATGGCATTTCATTTTTTTTGGGGAGAACCCTGGTTCATTAGGGTTTCAGACACATTTCCCTTCTATCAGCAGAGTCTTCCATTTCTTTGCAACCAAGGACACTAGAAACACACTAAGAAAAATTGGTAAACTGACAGCAACACACTCATAAACTGGAGTGTGGGACTTTTCATGGTATTGTTCAGTTAGGATCCCAGGACTAGAAGCTTTCCATGCCACCACACATTGAAGTCTTTCTTCTAAAGAATCTGCTGTTTGCTGCACTGAGATTATCCACCATCTGCACCACTGGATGGTGACAAATAGGGAGAACCAACCATTTTTAATGCTGTGAAACAGCAGATATTCATGGTGACGGCTAACAAGACATCCTGTTCAGTAACTGCTATTCATCACACAGTACATTATGGCATCATAAGAACATTCATACAAAGAATGTTCAGACAAGATAGTTTTTAGCAGAGGCCAGAGACTATGGATTGAACAGGACAGACTCTACTTTCTTTCCTGAAACAATGACTGTCATACCATTTCCAAATGTTGGAAAAGACAATGGATTCCTGGCCCCCAAACTAATTAACAAAGTAAGTTATCTCACTTGAACAGAGGAGCAGATTATTCACGTATCAGATTAGATTATTCTATCAGTACTGACCTGTCTCCTTTTGGAAGCTCTGTCTGGGCACAAACTCTGGGCAATTGATGAGTTGAGAAAAGTCAGTTTGTGCATAGTCTGTCATGGGAGGTCCAGGTAAAGGCCATTTCTCTGGTTCTTCCTTTCTTCTGATCTTCTGATCCACAATCTCTACCACTTTGCTGTCTTTCAGTGCCTGGAAAGACAAGCTCTATCTGTCAACATTGGTATACCGAAGCAGGGCCTGGTGTGCTGTCACAAATGCTGTGCAGCAGGGGTTTATTGTATACCACAGATAAGGTGCCCTTGGGAAAAGGGACGGGGAATGGAATAAGCGGAGAAAACTGAATACAAAAAGTAAAACCACTACTTCTACTGACAAACATTTAAAATCCCCCCCCCAATAAAAACATGGAGGACACAATTTCATAGGACATATTATGGACTAATTGATACTTCGACACTAATCCATTTGCTCACTTCCATCTCAGAGAAATACTAAGACAAGCCCAGACTGACAGCCTAATGTTGAACCCAAGAGATTCATAAAGGTACATGTAACAATCTCTTACCTTAATGATAAGGCCAACATCTGTAGTCAAGGCCTGTACTCGATGGAAACTGGCAATGAGGGTGATAGGAAGGAAACCTTCTGTGTCCATCTTCCGCCTCAGGAAAAAGTCTCGTTCCAAGTTGTCCACACTGAAGTAGTACTCTCTAAATACAATAAACCAGGGATGAGAACTAGAGACATGCTTCAGACCACAGCACACACCTATTGTTTGACAAGATAAGTGTACTTGGCCTTCTAGGAGCTTCATCAACTATCTATTAGTTCTTCCAACCAGGGCAAAATGACTCCTGGGGAAATATGAACTTTTTATTCTCACAGCATTCTTTGCTGAAAAGATCCCACTGGTACTGTTTAAGACACACTCGAAGGAATACCTTGATAAAATACATTCAGGTATACACAATGTGTTTATTTGAGTAAGAAAAACCATATCCTTCCTTGTCCTTTATGCCTTGTTTGCTGACCATGGCAACAGGTTGGCCACTGTGTGAAACGGAATGCTGGGCGAGATGGACCACTGATCTGATCCAGCAGAACACTCTCTACTTTCATTTACAGCCAGCCCAAATCCAAGGCTTCTGTATGCAATGTACAGGTAATTTTATTGCTATGGTTCACCATGGGCTTATATTTTTTGCTACTACTGTTTTTGCACACTAAGTTGCTCTTGATTCAGAAAAGTGGTATAAAGAATCTGAAAGAGAATTTCCAAGGCTACAACCATGAATCTCACTGTTCCAGGAAAAGAGCACTGTTCTACAACATGACAGACCGCATCCTCATGCTCTGGGTTAGGCACTGCCAGCTTCATAAACCTGGGACACTTTAGCCACAATGTGCTTGAGAAATGACACTTATGTCATTAGCCCATGTGAGAGAAGACAGTAAATCTTTCAGAAAAGGGTTGGACTCTGAACACACATGCTGCTTTTCAAAGGAAAAGATGGTATCTGATACCCTGCTGGCAGCCAATCTCCACAAATCACATCTACCAGTTTTAGAACTAATAGTAAGAGCAGAAAGGTGAGCAACCAACTTCTTCACCAATAGGCATTTTTGAGAACAGTGCAACCTCCACAAACAGATAAATATACCTTCACCACCCCTCTTCTCTTGAGTCAGGAACTACCATCTCTGACCTTACACAGAAATAACAAAACTGGCATCACAGAGGATGGTATGTTTCCAAGAGTGCAACAATTCTTGGCATTGAACCATAAGATAAAATATAACATATTTACAAGATCAGAATTTGTACATACATTTGCCGCTTGATATAGTCCTTGAGCAACTCTTGATCAACACTGTAGAGCTCAGTGCTGCTGATGTTGTCAAAGTAATAGGTGATGTTACTAGTGTATTTTTGAGCACGTGAGCCGTCGGAGCCATCAAATTTCCGGTAACCGTACTGATAATCAAAGTGAGCTGCAGAGAGAAAACACAGAAGGAGATTTTTCTAAGACCTCTTGATTATTTAAGGGCATCATTTTGTACTGAATAGCACAGATTCCACCATACACAACTTATGACAACCAGGTTTACACAATGTTGTGCAAGTTGGATTTAGGAGCTGGGCAAGGAAAGGCCCTTGAAGAAATTCAATTAATCCCATGTTGAGTGAAATTTGCACCCACAAACAGAGCAATCACTGTGGCAGTTGCACAGGACAAATTGGTTTTATTCAAGCACAGAAAACAAGGTCCAAATGGCCACTGCTGCCCTTATGCAAAGGCTCTGCATTCCGGGAATCTCCAAGCTTTTGGTTTATATATATAGTATTTCAGGAGCAGCTTTTTTCATTAAAAACATTCAGTTGTATTACTACCCACTTTCTAGCGGCATTGAACATCTGCTATAAGTTTACACTGACATAAAGAATTTTGTTATTCAATGGTACATTTATTTCAGTGATTCGAGTACAGCTATGCTAATGAGAGTTACAATTCAGGGAAACAAAGATCCACTCAATGACATACCTGCTGTGAGGTTAACTTTGTTGCCTGCTAGCTCTCTACATGAAGCAGTGTAGTATAGTCATTATAGTGCTTGACTAGGGCTCAGAAGCCATGTATGCATCCACATTTGCCATAAAAATTACTGGGTGCCATTGGGCCAGTCATTCTCTCTGTTTAACCTACCTCAAAAGATTACTGCAAGGATAAACAGTGAAAAGAGTAGCACAGTCAGCTCCCTGAGCACCATGAAGAAAGGGTGGGATAAAAATGCACATGTGGCACCAACAAAACGTCAACTATTAAAAAAAAGAAAAAGTGTGGCATACAAACATATTGATGTCCTTATACGTACAGCGAGTACCTCCTCTTCCTCTTCCTCTCCCCCGTCCCCGACCACGGCCTCTACCCCTGAAGGCACCACGCACAGCTGCCCCCTCACTTTTGACACTGGAAGTTTCATCATGATCAGGCCAATTCCGTTCATGCTTGTTATCCAGATGCCAACCTGGAAGAGAATTGGACACAAAAGGTGTCAAGAGATGAAAACAACCTTACAGCTACGAAGAGACACGCTTAAAAATCTGTGCTGGTGAAAACCATCTCCCCCCATTCTCATTGTGCAGTTTATTACCAAAGTTTCGCCAAAGAGTAAGCTAGATGGCATGTGGCACAAAGGCAGCAGTGGAGGCCAAAGGAGGCTCCACTTACTGGGCAAAAGGCAGCAGATGCTCCAGGATTGGGGGGGGGGGATCTCATGAGAAGACAGTAGCAGCCCTATGCAAACCCAATTGGACAAGGCAAGGAAGGGGTTGTTCAGGGTGGTGAAAACCAGGGAGGATTGTGAGGCACTCCAAAGGGATCTGTCAAGGATGGGCAAGTGGGCGTCAATATGGCAAATGGGGTTCAGTGTGGCCAAGTTCAAGGTGATGCACATTGGAGCCAAAAATCCTAAATATAAATACACATTGATGGGGTCTGAACTGGCAGAGACTGATCAAGAGAGAGATCTTGGAATCGTAGTAGATAACTCACTGAAAATGTCAAGACTGTGTGTGACTGCAATTAAAAAGGCCAATGCTATGCTGGGGATTATTAGGAAGGGTATTGAAAACAGATCAGCCAATATCATAATGCCCCTATATAAATCAATGGTGCGACCTCATTTGGAATACTGTGTGCAGTTCTGGTCACTACACCTTAAAAAGGATATTATAGCTTTGGGAAAAGTGCAGAAAAGGGCAACTCGAATGATAAAAGGGTTGGAACACTTTCCCTATGAGGAAAGGTTAAAGCGCTTAGGGCTCTTTAGCTTGGAGAAACGATGACTGAGGGGGAGACATGATTGAGGTTTATAAGATTATGCATGGGACAGAGCAGGTCGAGAAAGAGGTACTTTTCTCCCTTTCTCACAATACAAGAACTCATGGGCACTCATGGAGCAGAGGTCCATCAGTGGCTATTAGCCACAAGGTATAGATAGGGACTCTGGGGCAAGTGATGCTCTGTCTTCTTGGTGCTTGGGGGGGTCAACAGTGGGAGGGCTTCTAATGTCCTGGACCCACTGGTGGACCTCCTGATGGCACCTGGTATTTCTGGCCACTGTGTGACACAGAGTGTTGGACTGGATGGGCCTTTGGCCTGATCCAATATTGGCGTCTCTTATGTTTAAGAGAGAAACAAGGCTCTGAGAAGAGGGTGGTGGTGATGGGCTTGACCAGCAGGGGCAGAGCCCCAGGGCTAAAAAGGGCAATGTCAAAAGGGGGGGCGGCCAAGAATGCACACTGGCTGAGGAAGCGCATAAGGCAGAAAAAGGAACCGAGCTGGAGCCTGGGGAAAGATAAGGCTACCCAACTGGGATAGGCCTGGTGGAAATGCCTCAAGGCAGAGGCACAGCTCAGCACCCTGAGGTCTGAAAGGCAGAAATGGGCAGATGAACGGAACTGTGCTTGTGAGAGCTGGAGCCTGGGGAAAGATAAGGCTACCAAACTGGGATAGGCCTGTACTTGTGAAGAAGTCTGTGTGGACTTTGCTGCAGCCAATAAAAAGGCAATTGAGGAACAATGTTGTGTCTGGTGAGTCTCTGCTGACTATGGAAGTCAACCACGATCTCCCAATGCCACCTGGCGGGGGAGGCACATGGTGTTACATTAAATTCATAAGATCTCTTAAACTCAGTTGGCAATACAATTTTTCTAGAAGTAGTAACCTCTGTCAGCAGGGTACATTTATCTACTGGCAACATATCCCACTGCTAACCTGTGGAGAGGGGACTTGAGTCTGCAAAGAGCTATGCGTGCCCTGGAAGAACAGGTCAAACAAACAAAAACAAAGTCCTGCTTTTCTTTTTAAATCACCTGAAAATGCATCCTACCCATACCTTTTGATTCATTACGGTTGTTAGAAGGCTGCCGGTGCTGCTCATTCTGTCTGTTGTTGCGAGAAGCGGTATTGTCCCTTGGCACCTCAGACTTCATGTCTATTTGCAAGGGAACCCACTTATGCCTGTTGCCTGCAAGAAACAACAGGCTGGCCATTACAAAGGTTCACAAGGAAGCAAAAACATTTAGCCTACGCAAAACCAATCTACTTTCCCCCCATACTACAAAAACAATACAACTGTCTTTCTCATTAAGAGCATTTCCCAGCAAATGCATTCCCTAAACTTGTCTGGAAGATCTTCCTCTCCAGCAAATAATACTTCATAAAAATGTATGCCAGGTCAGGTCTATACAGTCCAGGACTGGATGTCAAAGAACCACTTCAAGTATTCCAAAGACATGAGGAAGAAGGAGCACCTTGGCCTTACATGATCTGAAAGATTGAGATCTGGATTGACTTTCTCCCCACCCCCATGATTGAGGCATGGAAGTATGAGGAGAAGAGGTAGGTCACCCTGTCAGGTTTTCTAGAACACCACATGCAGCTCAGCACTGAGATGGTATCCTGAAACAGGCAGTGCTGGTTTTGTGCAGTGGTAAGAGTGCCAGGCTAGGCCTTGGGAGGCCAAAGTTCAAATCCACTCAACCTTGAAGTGCAGTGAGTGGCCTTGGGTCATTTGTTCTCTTCTCAAGCTATCCAGCCTCACTCACTGGTTACGTGAATAAAATGGAGAAGAGGAGAGAACCATTTAAACTACTCAGCACTGGAGGAAGAGTAGGTTAAAATCTGACTGATAGACTGCACAGAGACACAGAAATCTCACAGAGACTGCACTTCCCTTTCCCGTTCTTTTTTGGATTTTAATGAAAAGGTTCTTTCTATTGCTATTGCTCCATTATTTCTAATTTTAAAAAATTTCCATGAAGTAGAAACCTCACACTGGCTGCCCCGGATTCGCAAGGTAGACAATTCAAAGTGCCGGTCCTTACTTTTGAGATTCTGAACGGAGCACCTTTTCCCTCCTCCCATACTATCCAGTTGGCCAGTTAAGATACAAGCCCTCCTTCATGCCACTGCCTGCAGAAGTGAGACGGATGGGGACCAGAGGAAGGCCTTTTTCAGTGGGCACACATCACCTGTGAATGCCTTCCCAGATCTTACTTTATGGTTTTAGGAGGTAGGGCTAAACATTTCTTTTCCCCTGGTCCTTTAACTAAGAGTGTGATCTTTTTAACTGCTATTATAACTGCCTTCTAGCTTGAGGACTGTTATCAGGATCATTCAGGCTGAAAATAAGTTTTATGCTCTGGGGTTTTAATAGTTTATTAATTGTAATGTTCTTTTAATGACTTATCTGGCTTTGTTTTGTGAGCTGCCTAAAGCTCGTTTCTGAAGAGAAAGCATATATTTTTAAAAAATAAAGATCGAACAAGTGACTGCCAAAGCATCATCACACTTCAGTTCTTCAAGATTCTAGTGATTTTTCAGCCTTCCAAAGCATCCCATCTTACCCTTCTTCTTCTGAGCTGATTTCTGGTTGTCATCATCTCCATTCTTCTCTTCTCCAGATTCATCTGACCTGGTTTTCATGTTCTCTTTGCCATCACTTCCTTCCCCTTTCTCCTGTTCCTTCATGTTCTTTTTAATAGGCAGCTTCCGGATGGCTTGGGGTTTATGTGCCAATTGCTAGAAATGCAAAGTCAGAGATATGCAAGGTAGAGGATCACACCAGTGGTTCAGCAAACTGGAGTCACAAACTAGCAAAGGAATATAAGCACAACTAGGTAAAGCTTGCCCCCTCTGTTGCTCATCATCAGTTATACACCTATCCCAAGAAAAGATTGATTCATTGAGCTTCCAGTGCCAAGAATGATCTGTTGTTTTCAGGAGAGATCCAGTTCATAAGCAACAGGTGATCGATACAGCAAGGATTGATGTCTAAGAAGTTATTATACAATTATATAGCCACATCATGTTTCCAAGCAGAAGGGATAGCAGCAGGACCTCAGCATTACAGAAACAAGATCTCTGCAATGATTTCTATTTCAACTCAGGCGCCTGACAAAGCCATGCTTGGTGAATGAAAACAGGGCAAGACATCAGTTCCATAGGACGGGCTGGCTGACTAGAGGCCACTGAAAAGCTGGGAAGCTACTGCCAAAGGGAAGGGAAATCCAGAAATAGAACTGCTCTCTTCTGTCCCTCTTTGCACCCACAATAAAGTCTAATAGCACCCACAATAAGCCAAGTGCAATACACTGGCTCACAAAGCTGCACTTCACAATGACCACACCACTTCCTTTATCCCCCTTGTGAAAGTAACCCCAGCCTCACCCAAATGCTTGGCAAATTTACCTTGCATGCTGTGGTTCACAGTGGCCAGTTTTAAAATGGGCTCCAGGCTGCTGTCCCAGAATAGCACCGCTGACTGCTAGGAAGCATGGTGGGCAGGGAAACCCTAAAAGGAAATCCTCTGCCTAGGACCTGTAATGAGCTATTCCTGGCTTTCTCCTAAGCAGAGACATAGCACCCCCAAAAACTGTTGTTCAGGCTGAATTCTCAGCTCTATGGCGGCAGAGAAACTGCAGGCTCTGGACCACAGCATGAATCCAGCAGCTCTCACATGGTTTAGACAAGCTTGTTTGAACACATCAGTAGTACTTCCTATATAACCCTAATGGAAAATGCACAACTTTCATTTCTGTCTTTTGACATAACAGCAAAACTCTGCAGAGAGCTACTGGTAGGAACGCAAACCACTAACAATTTATGTAAAAGTGGACTCTGGAATGATACAATGACTTTAACTTATCTTAATTCAATATGTAACATACTCGTTAGAGATCAAATTAAGGCTTTGTTTTGGGATGCTCAGATAGGATAGCAAGCCCCCAAGTGTCCAACAGGACAAGTTCATATGACGAGTAGCTCTCAATAAATCCTAACTATATAAAGAATAAGGCTCGATGGGTACAGAGGTGCCAGAACAGCAAGGGCCTCTAGTGGCGGTTTCTCTTCATAACATTTCAGCAAATTGCCAGCTTGTGCTCAGCTGTAAAATACAGGGAGGGTCTTTACAACTAGGATTAGTGACTTATTTTTTTCCTCAGGCCTCATTCCTGATGCTTCCAAAACTCCCCTACCAATGGGGGAAGTAAAGAACAGGGGGAGAAAAGAGCAAAAAAACCCCATGCCTACCTTTACAAAAAGGGTTTGAAGCACACTAGAAGGTTCAGAATGTGTTAGAACAGCAATGCACAACATATAGAGCATGACCAACCCCCCCCCCCGTTTCTGGCGACTCAGCAGGTGTTACTGCCCTCTGTGACCCTGACTGGACATAAGTAGAAATAGGGGCCACTTCAGTGATATGAGAGTATCCCAATGAAGCAACCCGGCAAGAGACAAGTCTCAGGCAAGCTCCTAAGAGGCACAGATGCCTGGAATGACTGGCAAGACAGCTCCATTAGCTGTCATGCTCCCACAAGAGTTCCAATTGTGCTTATGAGGTTTGCCATGCTTTATTTATTTATTTTTTTAAAGCCAGGAGGTGGCTTCTGGGAATGATTCCAAGCATGAAATCTTCACTCCTCTTCCAGGTATGGAGGAGACGGATTTAGGATCCTAGACATGGTGAGGAGAAAGGCAGTGTTTTAAATAAATAAGGCCCCGGTCACATGAGAGGTTTTGGGCCGGGAGAGGGACGGATCGGGGGCGCAGCAAACGGGCGCGATCCTACAGCAACATCTGGGAAGCGTGGCGCGCCCGTTCCCGATCCGGCCCTTCCACCCAAAACCCCGCATCAAAATAAACCAACCTACAGGGGATCCGACGGATCCCCTGAGCCGCGGCGTCTCTATTTTGGTGCAGCTTTTAAAAGCCGCACTTTGCCCGGTTTTTTTTCCTGCTGTGTGGCAGGGACCTAAGACACCCATCTTGCTGCTATGCCCACTGAGAGCCTGGTAGGTACAATTGCTGGCTCTTTTTATGAGGCTTGGAGACAGCTTGGTCTGTTTATCTTTCTGGCCTTGATTTCTGATGTACATCCTCATGATGTACCAAACCATAACAATAACATAGTTATTGTTTAAGTGTTGCCAAATCCTCAGAATCCCAAACTTTGAGACTTATGAGGTGGGGTATAATAATGTCATTGGTAGGGATGGTTGAATACCTGCTGGTTTGGCTCACATTCTGTTTGGCAGTGGCTAGCAAGGAGCCAATTTGTCAGCAGACAGTTCATTGACCCATTCATGGCTGTCTGACAGGCCACTTCACAGTATTACTTTCTAGCAGCGCAGCACAGCATAACTGGCTTTTCGCACAGTCATTTTTCCTGCTGCAATCCCAGGGGCTTTTTTAAAAAAACTGGCAATTGCTACTCTGTGCTAAAACCATTACTAAAATGATTGCAGCAACAGATAACGCACAATAGCAATTACCATCCCCCCCCTTAAAAGCACAAGATAGCAAGGGGAAAATGCAGGGTCAATGGTCACTTGGTGTGGATACAGCCACAGACCGTTAAATCAGTCACAAATCATATAATCAGTCATAAATGTTACATTTAAAAAAATCTTACCCAGTGTTCATCTAAGTAGTCCTTAATGATATACCAGCTACCAACCTATTTGGATTGGCAGCACTGTACACATATGACAGTTTTGAAAAAAAGTTGATGCAAATCTGTATGCCAGGCATGAGAGTTGTTCAGTGCAAACCAAAAACTGGGGGATGGGCTCACACATAATCAATGCATTTGAATACACCAAGTCTGACTGTTGAACATGCTCAACAACACAAAATGCGTAGCCCCTCTAATAATTGGACAAGGCCTGATTATGTATACTTTCACATTGCAGCCTGCTTAGTTTCAATCAAGGTTGATTCTGGCTCATGCAGTTGTTCAAGATGCATACCCATGAGTTAGATCAAAGACTTGGGTCAAGATGAGGACACAGAAGAAACTGACAATGCCCTTTAATGCCCTTCACTTTACACAATGCTGGAAAGCCAATATCAGAACACCATCCAAAGGACATTTGGCTTCTTTCCCTTCTGCACTGAACAGAAACATGCACCAGTGAATACTTAGCAATGGAGACTTTCAGTAACAAAAAATGACTGCCCATTAAACAAAAATGTTATTCTTTAACCTGCACTGAAACTGATTTACCATATTTCAGAAAGATTTCAGTAAGCAGGCAACAGTACCTCCACAACCTACAGAGGAAATAGTTTTAATGCCAATTTTTCCTTTAACTCTTTTCTTCTTTTAAAATTAAGAAATAATCTCGGTCAGATCCCAATGCGTAGATTTTTAGGTGGGAAAAACCCTCTTTTCTGCTGGTTCAAATAATATGCATATACTTTGCACAATGAGTGGGCAAGACATTCATCCTTATGCACAATCACAACAAGATTTGTAAGAAGCAAAGCCACTTAGGAGTATAAAAACTACAAAACTGTGTATGAGAATGCTTTTATGATTGTGGAGACATCTTTTGACACAGTGCTGCCCTTGCAGCTTTTTGGACATCTGATTCCACACTGAAAATATTTAGCCATCATTGATTTAAAAATTTCCATGTAAGGGAGTAACGTAAACAGATAATGTGGGGTCTGTGCTGCCACTGAAGAAAATGAGCTATACCTGCACAGAACTCATACTGGAGATGAATACATTATATTCTTAAGTTTGTCCTTATTAGCATCCAGAAGAGACTTTATACTTTAGCAGTGCACAACAAAGCAGAGGACACAAAATATGGATCTGAAAGAAGCACCTTAAGGGTTGGCTCAGGTACCAGTTTCCTGATTGGGAGCAACTGGCTCCCAAAAGCATAATTAAACCACTCGAAGAGAACACTGCCTGTTTTCTTTGCAACTACATGTCTATGGGTAAGTCAAACTGAAGAGGAAAGTGGTCTGGATGAGTATGAATTCTATTCAAAGAAGAGGGACAAAATACTCTGGAGAGGAGGGAAAGGAAAAGCAACAGAGGAGAACAATGATTGTTAAGTTCAGTGATGAAATTTATGTATCCTGGGAAAACATGGAAATCATTTCTTTATTGCTATCTGAATGATTCTGTAGAAGTCTGTAAACAAACTCTAGTTCCTCTAGACTAGAGTGTACAGCAATGTCATAGTCAGTATACAATTTTCACCAGATCTTGTGTAAGCTAGCTTTAAAATTCTGTAATTTTTTTTACTATAAAAGGAGGCAATTATGTTTTAAAAGGCTTAGATTTATAAAAAGCAATTCTCTAAAGCAGCAAAGTGAAAGGGGGGGAGAGAGAGTGTCTCTGGGGAAAAAGTACTGACTTGAATCCAGTAATACGCAACCAGAAGCAAAAATGGACTTAGCACAGCTCTGCTTATGCAAGATCTTCTGCAACATCAAGTGCTTTCCACCCTATATATTATAGTGCCAAGAAATTGGTTGCATAAGATCTTGTGCAAGTAGAAATGAGAATAGGGATACAATAATTCTGACTTAGTGCAAGTGGCTACCACAATCTTTTTCTTGGGTTTTCAACTTGCGCTAAAGATCTGGTGTGACTGGAAATTCTACTCTGGATCCAGCCCATTAAGTCCGGGGTCCCCAACCTTTTTGAGCCTGTGGGTACATTTGGAATTCTGACACGGCATGGTGGGCACAGCAACAAAATGGCTGCCACAGCTGTGCTACGGTAACAGATGCTATCAAAGCAACATTTTTTTAAAAAAACACTGAACTGCCAATCAAATCTCCAACAGTTAATCAGAAGTCTGGCTGGGCAAGAGCCCTACCTGGCCCCACTCACTTCCTAAAAACACTTGGCAAGTGCCAGAAAAGAGGTCAGAGGACACCATGGTGCCCATGGGCACCACGTTGGGGACCCCTGCATTAAATTACCTGAAGAACTACTGGTCTCCCCGTTCCTTTAACATCACTCCCTTCTTTTGCCAGAAAGGTTGAAGGGAGATTGAGTTCTCACCCTCTAGTTCCCCCTCTAGCCTTCAAAATCCCCACAACCAAAGCAGCACTGAAGGCAATGGGAATGCCTATCCTTGAACACAAATTTTCCAGAACCAACCGTGGAATCCTAAGCAGATATGATAACCATCCTTCAAGTACTTGAAGTGCTGTCATATAGAGGATGTGCATGGAGTTCTTTTCTGTTGCCCCAGAAGGTCGGACCAGAACCAATGGGTTTTAATTAAATCAGAAGTATTTTTGGCTAAATATTAGGAAGAACTTCCTGACAGTTAGAGTGGTTCCTCAGTGGAACAGGCTTCCTCGGGAGGTGGTGGGCTCTCCTTCTTTGGAGGTTTTCAAACAGAGGCTAGATGGCCATCTGACAGCACTGCTGATTCTGTAAACTTAGGCAGGTCATGAGAGGGAGGGCGGGAAGGGTTGCCTCAGTGCTTAGTTCTTGTGGCCCTTTCTTACATGCCCAGGGAAATGCTGATCGCTATTTTGGGGTCAGGAAGCAATTTTTCTGCAGGTCAGTTTGGCTGGAGATCCTGGAGGGGTTTTTTTGTCATCTTCTGGGTGTGGAACAGGGTTCACTGGGGGTGTGGGGAGGTATTTGTGAATTTCCTGCAAGGGGGTTGGACTAGATGACCCTGGAGGTCCCTTCCAACTCTATGATTCTATGATTTTTCCAAGCCCATTAGCTTCAAAGGACTTGGAAAGATGTTAATACTGCTAAGGATTGCCCTGCCAATCTCAAATACAACTAGCACAGTGGAATGAACAGAAGCAAGGCTATGTAGTGTTCATAGTTCCCTCTAAGCTGTGCTAGGGGGTGCTGGCGCACAAAATTTTTAACAGCCAGCTCAGAGAATTTTTGTTTCAGCCCACAGATACTGCTTCAGCCCACTCGAAACAATGGAGGATGGGAGCCCCTCCTTCTGGGGCCCACAGAATTGGACCCACTGGCTCCAATCCTGTTGAAACTTGGGGAGATTTTTGAAGAGAGGCTCCAGCAGCTATGCTGCAAATTTGGTGCCTCCACCTATAAAAACAACCCACCCCCCCGAGCCCCAGATACCCTCAGATCAATTATAGCCTATGAAATGATGGTCCCCATAGGTTACAATCAAGTTGGAATTTTTTTTGCATGCCCCTATTATGCTTTTCAGTATGATTTGTAAACTGCCTTGAGTCACAGGGAAAAGTGGGGAATAAATATGTAAATAAATAAGTAGTTTGGGTGGGTTGATAACATTTAAGCAACTACCTGTTTTTTTAGGTTAGGCAGGGTTCTGACTGTGATTGTTCCTGAAGAAGTGAGCAGTGACTCATGAAAGCTCATACCCTGCCACATATTTTGTTAGTCTTTAAAGTGCTATAAGACTCTTGCTCTTTTCTACTGTTCCTCTCTGTTATACTTGACCTGTAATGCTGGTTGTCATATTTCACTAAAAAAAACACAAAGCAGACTGCAAGTGTCCCCGCCCTCCCCTCAAGTGCTGGTATGCTTTCTAAGGCTCAGCACAGGGTGGCGGTCTGAGGCCAGGCAATACTTCCTCTAAGCTTGTGAGCAAAAATTCTACTTTGTGGGCGACTGGCATTAAAGTTGGAAGCGAGCAATTTGGCTACTGCATAAAAGTTTGCTCTGGAGCCATCCTTCCTGAGCTAAGACAAAAATGTCTGAGCCGGAGGCTAAAAAACTGTGAGCTAGCTCACACTAACTCAGCTTAGAGGGAACACTGAGGCCAGGTCTACCAATATAGTGGACTGGGGCAGGTAGACCTGTTCTCCAGAGGTCAAGTTACCAATATAGTGGAAAGGGGTGGGTAGATCTGTCCTCCAGAGGACAGGTCTACAAATATAGTGGAAAGGGGTGGGTAAGACCTGACGATTCTGTTTTCTCTTATAATGTTTAAATTATTCTTAAAATATAGTTTAAATATATCTTAAAATAATTTATTCTGAGATTTTTACAAGGTTATGGAAGTAATCTTCTAAAGAACTAATTTACATGATAGTCAAATCTAGACTCGCTCACAACTGTAATGCTACTAGGGGTTTTTTTGCTCACAAGGTAGAATTTGTGCTGACAACACTTTGGAGCTTAGAGGGAACATTGGTAGTGTTTATCCTGGGGTACTGCAGAGATATAATCAGCCAGTTTATTTCCCATGAATACAGTCTCCCCTACAGAAACAAGACGAAAAACATGCATCTGCATACAGCATATAAATAAGGGTGTTTGTGGCAGTGCCAGGGTATTGTAAAATTACACACTGTGAATACAAAACTGACAGCATTGTGGTAAACCATTTGTCTGAACAGGAGAGCGAATGCAGGTATCCCCTAGGCCCATGCAACTTCTTGATTTTGTATGGGACATTCTGCTTTCTTGAGTCTCATTCTTGCACACACATAACCACAGAACAAAAGCTTCTTTCTTCTCAAGTCAAAATGTTTTTTACCTGGACGCTCTTGTGAGCTATTTCTCCTGGTGTTGGCCAGTTCGTGGCATCCCCAAAGTCACCAACCTAACAATATAAGCAGAGACATCCATATCAACAGAAAGTATCATGTAGCAGCAGCAGCAGCTTCCTGGTTGTAAAATTAACACAATATTTTGCTGTATGGGAACTTTCGCATTTTTGTTTGGAGGTTAAACTAAGCTAGGCTTGCCAAGTCCCCCCAGGGGCGGGGAAACTGCTGCACCAGAGGCCCGTTCCCTGCTGCTGGCGAAGCGCGCCCCGGGGGGAACCCCACCCCGGGGGCCACGGTCATCCGAGGGAAAACTCTATGGTTTTCCCTCGGATGGTCGTGGCCCCACCCCCAGCGTGCCCGGCGTCGTCACGTCACTTCTGGGAAACGTGTGTGCGGCACGCGTGCATTTTAGACGCCAGACGGGAGTCCCCCGCTCCAGAGGAATTTACACTTGGCAACCCTAAACTAAGCACTTATTACTTCTGTCCCTCACAGCAATCATGAATATTATTTCAGATGTGAAATGCTATTAGAGTGTACACTGAATGCGCACAGCTTGTTTCTAAGGTGCTCTTGACAACCCATTAACCATTTGACTCAGTGGCATTAAGTACTAGGCAGATTAATTTTTGATTGTGCTAATTAGCTTATTGTCTTTTAATTTCTTACAGTATCTGTCCACATGGGTAGAAAATCAAGCACACTTAATTTGCCTTCTTTATATTTTTGCTCTGTGTAAGAAATATCTATTGCTCAAAGTCTGCCATTCAAACTATAGTAACTTTCTCACAATCTTCCAGCCTGTAATTTTCAGTATAAGATTTTGTCTACAGTCTTGCAGGTTTCTACTTTTTCCTAGGTGGAAAGGGTATAAATATTTTAATAAATACTGGTAATTGTTGTTCTTTAAAATGTCATAAAAGAAGAATCTTAAGACAAGGAGTTTGTGAAAAACACCTGGAATTTTTTAAAAAAATTCTTTTTCTAAACACACTGCCACCTAGTGAACAAAATATTTGTTTACACTAGCAGCAGTTTCAACCTCGTGCTTTGAACTATAATGCAGAAACCAAGAAGTCTGAAGTTTAAGTGACACAGCAGGAACCCCCTACACATGGTAAAGGGAATCAAGGGCCAATTCTAATTGGCTTAGTTTATAGCTGAGATATTTCATCCTTAGTAAGGGCACTGTGTTGAATCTCACAATCCATCAATGGAACAGGTTGAGAGCTGCACATCTTACCAGCCTTCCCTTCCCACTCAGCAGCCTTTTCCAGCCCTGGAGGAGTTGATTCCTGGATCTGCAAGATCTGCATGGATTATCAGCCACACCCATACATAATATGCAGAAAAGAGGGATTCTGTCCCCTTCCCACTACAGTCTCCTGGCCCCCAGAGCAATTACTCCAATTACACCATACAGTAGGACAGGACTACTGCAAGGAAGGGGAAATAACATCAGGGAAGGTCTGCAATCCTTCTACTGGATCCAAACCAGTGAATTGCTCTGAAGAACTAATATGAGACCCAAGGACAGCAGCTCTATATATTTCAAGAAGTGATAAAATGTCATGCCTTGCATATGAAGGCTTTTTTTTTTTTTGTAACGTGGGTAATATGTGCATACTGCATGAATACAGATGTGGGGTGGAAAATCACCTGTGGAAAATGTTAGGGAGCTTTATTTTTCCGTGGACTATTTTCTGTTTCTAAATACATGATTTCATACAATTCATAGCTATAATGAATAGATGCCATTATTATTAGCCAACATTAGTTAACTTAATGACGCTTGGCAGTTTCAAAATTGTAATTGATATTTTTCAGATTATTATGCCTACAAATTCTGCGAAAATGTACTTGTATGTTTTTAATGATTTGTAAAGGGGAGAGGGAATAAAACCATAAATACAAGAAACCATTTTTTAAAAAAATCAAGTTATGAAATCACCTGACTGATTGTGCAGATCAAATCAAAACCAAAGCTAAAATTCTTTTTAATATGCCTCCCCTTGCCTGGTAGAACGAATACTGTAATCATCAATCTAATACAGAACTAACAAGTAATACAAGTGATGAGTTCCACAGAGGCCACTGGGGCATGAGAGTTAAGGTCTGTTGAAAAAGATTAACAGACAGGACAACCACACCCACAGCATATCATGCACAGTTCTCTAAATGTGCTGAAATTAGTGTGTCAGTTTTTGACACAGTCATCTTTTTTCTTAAATTTAAAAATGTTAGGGAAATACCTGTCATTAAAAAAAATACTGGTATTATTTCCACATAGAGCATTGAATGTGTTTGAATGTAACATTAAAACCACAATCACATGTTTGTTGCTACTGGGAAGTAAAACTAACAATGAAGTACCTTTTCAATTTTGTTTACTAAAAAAGTCAAAATAAATATGCTGAGTCAGATCACACTATATTCGGGGGTTGTTGTTAGCGATTCTATGGGCTAGCTCTCTCCACGTTTTCCGGTCATGTACTGTTTCTTTGAGTTGTCCCATGCTCAGGGGACTGATTCATATTTTTTTCTGGAAAAACTACCTCACTGCATACATTTATGGCAGTTCTACCTTCACTGGATGCTCTGGAAGTGCTAAAAGTGAGTCTTCAAGTCACTTTGCTTCATCATGTAGAATCACCTTGAGCTACAATTCTTTTCTTTTTTTGGCTGGTGAGTCACAGCTGAGTTATGGCAACCCATGGAGTTTTCAAGGCAAGAGAAGTTTAGAGGTGGTTTGCCACAGCCTGCCTCTGCCACCCAACCCTGGACTTCCTTGGGTGGTCTCCCATTCAAATGCTAACCAGAGCTGACTCTGCTTAGGTAAGATACAATTTATTCATGCAAAATGTTTGCTTGAACAAATAAATTCAACTTCATTCTGTTTATGTGGATTTCAAGGAAGGAGGAAAGCAAAAACAAGGATTGGTGTTATTTTCCCAATAATTTGGGAAGGAAGAAATGCAGCCACATTACAGGCTTTAAAAAAGAGGATCAAACAGCAAGTAAATGATGTTCTCAGAGGGCAAGGGCACTTAGATGATGTTGCACAAAAGACTGTTCTCAGGTAAAATTTTCATCTCCTTCCTTGTCCATAACATGGCAATACTTGTTTTGCTTGCTTAACTGACTGGATGACATTAACAGTCACTAGTCTTCATCCATGTCCAACCAATGTTTCTTACTGCATTATTGCCACTACATTTCCATACCACAACACAACCCATGCCTAGAAATACTGGCTGCAGACATGGACAGGTTTCTTTCAGCAAACTTAACCTTGAACGAGGGCCATTAACTTGGCAGGGTCCTTGTTTAGATGTGTACACTTCTACCCCAAACATGTGACTTCTATAAGCAAGCTGTGGAAAGGCTTCACTTCACAATGCTCCAAGACAGACCAAAGTTGCACCATCTGGAAAAGGACCAGGAACTGTGGTTCCAGGGCTTGCTGACACCAGTGTTTCCTCCAAGCTGAGTTAGTGTGAGCTAGCTCACAGTTTTTTAGCCTCCGGCTCACACATTTTTGTCTTCGCTCAGGAAGGATGGCTCCCGTGTGAACCAATTTATGCCGTAGCCAAATCGCTCACTGACAATTTTAATGCCAGTAGCTCACAAAGTAGAATTTTTGCTCACAAGACTCCACAGCTTAGAGGGAGGATTGGCTGACACATCTACATCTCAGGGATTCTGCAAAGCAGACAATCATGATAATACTGATGGGTTAGTATGCACAGTAGTTCAGGTGTTAATTCTGGAGAGGATGATTACACTGTGCCAGCATAAGAAAACAATACATTTTATACTAGTACCAATGTATGTCCCCCTATCAAACAGAAAGCTAGAGTGACACAGAAGAACATATTCCAAAAAGTGTCAATTTTATTCTTTAGCTTTTCATTTTGACAGGGTCACTCTTCTAGACCCAGCCTTGCTGATGGACAAACAGCGGGGCTGTTGCTAGGAGTACCTTCTTTCAATTACATCCAACTCATAAGCTGACCCCTTATTTAGATTCTGCTAACCTGGCCACACTGATCCACACTACTGTGACCACCAGTCTGGACTACTATAACACTATATGCAGAGCTGTCCATTCAAATGCAACAAATGCAACAGCAAGACTACAGTCTATGATCAAACCCTTGGAACACATAACTCCAGAGCTCTGTCAACTACAGTGAACTGGACCCAGAAGCAAATACATAACCAAAGTGCTGGTATACCTTTTACACAAAGCCGAGGGACTTTATACTTATCAAATACATTTAGGAAGGTGTGGAAGCCAGTTTTATTCTAGAGAACATTTGTTAACAGATATACATTTTTGTAGACTGGTCTGTATTTCATTTTTAAAAAAAATCTCTAATTTGTATTTTTTTAACTTACTGTCTTTTTAATTTGTCCTTTTTTTGGCTGGACTGTTATCTTTTTTGTCCCTGCAACCTGGTGCTACATTATTACTTGCCTTGAGTCTGAGCAGATAAGGTGGGGTATAAGTGTTTTAAATAGATCAATGAAAGAGTTCCCCTGAGAACCCAAAGGAACACAACATATGTCTAACTTCTGTGAGAGCAAACTGTGCCCTAACAGTTTTCAACAACAGGCCCTTTTTGATACACAATACTTTATAAATGTAGACTCCTACGGTTCATATAAATATCACTGGGAAAATCCAAAACACAGCAGTGTCTTAAAGTTCTTTCTTAACTAAGATTGACATTAATAAAGCCACAGTACATACTTTGCTTCCTTTCCGCTGTCTTGGATTCGCCGCTTTCACCACCTTGGCTGGGGTTGAATGCTCTGATGAGAAAAGGGTGGGGGAGAGAAAAAGGAGGAAAAGCCAACCATTAATATTCTAATCACTGAAGTACAATTACACTAGCTGTGAACAGAAACATACACCTGTTCATTCCTATTGTATAATTTCATGCAACCACATGCAACATTTCCTCTACTCCAAAGACTGAATAAGATAGCATTTTGAAGAATCTCATTTCACTAGTAAAATCACCAAAACAGAGACTGTAAATCTTTACAGATATTGTATGCAAACCAACTGCTGATTATAAACTGACAAGTCAACTGGGCTTTCCTCTTTTTCCCAGACACAGAACTAGCAGCATTTCAGCCAAAACCTGACCACAAAGCCAATTAGAGAGAGTACCCCAATTACATCTCTTAGTTTTATTGCCAGTTTCAGGAAAGTTCTGTTTGTGAACTTACCCTACTAAATAAGATATTTCGCTTTGCTCACAGAAAAGAATACAGTTCTCAATGTTATAAAGTGTAATTTGATATCCAAATATGTGGAAAGACCTATCGTGGCTAATTGTTCAAATAACAGACTCTTGTTTACTGCAAAATTTGTGTTTTCTGTTTTCAGCTGTTATTCTCAAGTATAATGATCTATTTTCAATATTACTTATAGAAGACATGTATACATTTAAATGCCATTAATATACTAGAGAACAATTTTATATGCTAAGCTGGAAGTGAAGCATTTTATGTTGTTAAAGCAGTAAAGTAACTTTGAGATTGATAGGATAAGCATCATCATCTATACATCTTTTAGTGATGTGTAGCCCCCAATCTGTGGATACCAAAATCCATAGATCGGGGCCAACAGATGATAAACAGATAGAACTGCAAACTTGGGAGACTCCCCTGATTTGTAGGAAAATCTGAAAAGGTTTTAAAAAGTCATTGGAGGGTTTAAATTCCCCCTAAAATCATACGTGTTGTCTGTACATGCACAGAAAACGCTCCTACCCTCATTGTTGGACGTGGCATTTTCACTGACTCAGGGAGAAGAAACCTTAGCGGGTGCGGTGGCTGGGAGCCATGTAGGGCTTGCTGCTGTGGTCACTGATGGGAGAAGCCCTGGCAAACCAGGCAGTTGGGAGCCGTGCAGGGCTTGCTGTCACTGACGGTGAGGGGGAGAATCCTCAGTGGGTCTGACAGCCAGGAACCTCATGGTGCTTGACAGTGTCATTATTTGGGGGGGGGGGGACCTCAGTGGGCCTGGCAACTGGGAGTTGTGCAGGACTTGCTGCTGCTGTCATCAACAATGGGAGGGAAGAGGGCTTGGTGGCCTGGAGCCATGTGGTGCTTGCCACCATTTACACGGGAGCCACGACAAGCCCAGTGGCTAGGAGCCATGCAGAAACTGTTGACTGGAGGAGGGAGCCTTGATGAGCCCAGTGATTGACAGCTACGTGGGGCTCACCAGCATGATCACTGGTGAGGGGGAGAAGCCTTGGTGGGCTCGCTGGCTGGGAACTGAGCAGGGCTCACTGGGATCGCAGAGGGGAGGAAGCTAGGCATGGCAGCAGTGATAACATAAAGATAAGACGTGTAATGGATGCCCCCACTAACACTATGAGCCCCTACTTATCTATATACTATTAGCCATGTGTGGCCCCCATCTGCAGATACCCAAATCTGTGTACAGGGGCCACACGGATGCTAGATTTTTCAGCAACCTTGGGGAACTCACCAGGTCTGCAGAAATATCTGAAATGTCAAAAAAAAGAAAGAAAATAATTTAAATCCTCTGAAAAGTTTCCTTTCTACCTGAACATGGTGGAGCTTGGGAGTCATGGCGGGGCTGGTGATGACAGCAGCAGTGGCAAAGCAGCCCGAGGGTGGTGATAGGCCTGGCAGTGGCTGCCAGAGAGCCCGGGAGCTGTGCAGCAGTGGCAGCAATGCCAAAAGCGGTTGCTGGAGAGCCTGGGGGCTGCAGTGGCAGCAAAGATCCCAGGGACTGTGTCAGGCCAGGTGGCAGCTACCGGAGCACCTGGGGGCTGTCCTGAGCAGTGGTTGCCAGAGAGTCCGGGGGCCCACACAGTAGTCACTGCAGAAGAGCCCAGGGGCTGCGCCAGTTTCAGCGAGAAAGCAGGAAAGGAAGATGGGCTCCCCCCACAAGTCCTGCAGGCGTCCACCTATCTATATACTATTAGCTATGTGTGGCCCCCATCTATGGACAGATATATCTGTGGATTGGGGCCACATGGAGGCTAAACAGATTTTTCAGCAAATGTGGGGCACTCCACAGGTCTGCATAAAAATCTGATAATTAAAAAAAAAAAAACCACAGTGGAGTTTAAATCCCCAGAAAAGTAAAGTACCTTGAGCAGTCAGTGGGGAAACAGAGGAGCAACACTGGGTTCAGTGGTGGCAGCGCAGCCAGGCAAGCATCACTGGGCCTGGTGTCATTGGCCACACAGCCTGAGAGCCCAGCAGAAGCTGCTCCCGCCCAGCCTGGTGGTAGTTGACAGTTGTGGCAGAGGAGGCTGGCAGCTACAATGAGCTCGGCTACAGTGTTGGAGGAGGCTGGCAACTGAATTAGGCCTGACCATGGTAGCAGAGGAGGCCAGCATGCTGAGCCCATTCGCAGCAGGTGAGGACACCAGGCTCAATAGTTGGTGGGAGGAGGGATTCATCTCCTCATGCGTATCGTGGATCACCTGTCAGAACCCACAGCCAACAACATAGTACACGCTTTCATGAAAGGTAATACTTTATTGAAGAGCTATAGATGCCTTAACATAGGCGCTGTTAAGAATGACGGCTGCCCATGGGGCACAATAGGATAAAGGGTATTTGTATGCACCCCCCCACTGCCCTGGCCGCACGCAGGAGATAGAGCTTCGGCCGTTTAGTGCTGAAGCTGGGAACGAAACGGTTCCCAAGAAAACCAGACATCAACATCACCACCTGCAATACTTAGAGATAAGTGTCGTAGCAGCAAAGAAGCACATAAGGAATGCAAAGGCAATTAGAAGAGAATGAACCTCCCCACCCCCATGACAGCATAGCTGACATCACCACTGGTATATTCTAATGGCTGAGTCAGCCAAAGCTGAGGATACTTAAATCTGGAGACTGGACGTATGAACAGACAAGATAGATCTTTGTGCTAACCTGAAAAAACACATTCGTGGCATAAAAAAATGTCATTGGGAGTTTTAAAAAAACCACCTAAATGACAAAAAGGAGTACATGTAGCTTTAAGAAACACATCCCCTCAGTGGCCATTGCTAAGCAAGCAAAACAGGTTATTTTTTGCCAGTAAAAGGGAGGGAGAAAGGGAGGGCCTTTCCCCAGGAATATTTTGGGCTTTGTGGCAGAACTCACTGGGGTCAGGCTCAGCTGCAAGGATTGGGCAACCAACATGCATGACTTGCCTAGGCCATGCTGCTTGTTACTTTCAACACCAGCCCCCCAATGCGGTGCAGTGGTTACAGTTTCAGACTAGAACCTCAAATTTCCATTCTGCTGTGGGAACTCACAGGGAGACCTTTGGGGCAGTTCCACATTCTCAACCTAATTTACCTCACAAACGGGGGGGGGGGGAGGGCCATTGAGGGCACCTGAATGAAACACAGGCTGCTGGGCCCACACAAAAGGGTCAATCTGGTCAAGGTGAGGCAGATGGTGGCACCAGGCTGGCCGGGCCCCAGGAGAGAAAGACAGTGGTGCCCAGCTGAGTTGGGTGAAAGGTGAAGCAAGGCAGAGGGTGGTGCCCAGCTCCATGTGAGGTGAGGTGAGGTGAGGCAAGACAGAGGGCAGCACTTGGCTAAGCCCCAAACAAGCTGAAGCAGAGGGCTGTCCCCAGCCTTCTTGAGCCCCATAAGAGGCAAAGGAGATGACAGTGCCTGGCCCATTCAAGGGCCACAGTTTTCCTGAGTGGAGGATGCAAGGGGTAGGGAAGGGCAGAAAACTGAAGATGGGGAGGTCGGAGATAAAGGTAGGTCAGTTGGCAATCCTA